TAATAATATGCATACTAAGCCTGAAGGTGGCGCTTTCCTACGGCAGCCATCTTGGATGGTACACATACACAACTCTGCATTGTTCCGCCATCTTGTCAGCACTCTAGTTGTTTAATAGCTCTATGGTTGACATGCATTTAAATTTTCTCCCGTTCCTTTCTTTCTGCACGTTTAACTTTTGCATGCGAGATTCTGTTATTTTCAAGCTGTTCTATTCCATTCTGAGTAGTGTGTCTCCAAGTGGATCTGTCTGATGCTTGCATTTCAAATGTATTTGATGAGATGCTGCATCATTTTAGAGATGCTTTTAGTGAGTTTTCTGGCCTCCTTGGGATCAATTACCTGTCCAGAGCTTACTGTATAGGAGTTGTTTCGGTATGCGTTTGTTTGGCCAGCGAATACAGTGTACAGCCCATCGAAGTTGATGTTTAGAAAGTATGGCATAGACGCTTAGCATTATTGGCTTGTTGTAATATGTCAGTATCAGGAAACTTATCTTGCCATTTGATGTTCAGGATTTTTAGTAACTACTGTAACTAGAGACTAGTAAGATGGAAATGGTTTAGTTTTCATTTTCTGCTTTTAGGTAGGTAAGGTAAGATCGTTTCTGTAATTTGAGAGTTACATATGGAGTTGAAGATCTGTTGTCTGATGGTTGGCCCCCATTAAATAATGAGAGCCAGACTGTAAAATATGGTCTGCAAGGGGAATATATCCTCCTTTTACGTGCACACTTGAGCTAGTTTTTTATGTACAGTATCTTCCGCGCAATCAAATATTTGAATGTGAGGGATAATTTATAATTATCAACATAAAAATATAAATATAAAACAAAATTTTTAATCACAATACCTATATTAAACAAATTCACTATTATTAGGCTAGTACCCAGAGTGTAAAGTTTTTTTAATTGCATGGATCATACCTCAAAAACCAGCTCAAATTTGCATGGAAAATCGCTATTAAAATAGGTGCGCAGAATTCCGTATTTGTACTGCAGTATGAAGATTAGGTCAAAGCCTAATTTTAGGAAAAATCTGTAGGAAAAGCGGCCCTTATTTTTTCAAAATGCACGGAAATATTTCTAGGACAAATTTTTGCGTGGTCGTAAAGGTCATAATTTTCTATTTTTTTCTTACGTAGGGAGGGGGCCCCCCAAAACCCACCTCCCCCTTTGGGGCTAGGCCCCTTGGTTGTCGCTACACGTAACACGACAGTTCTTTTGTCGAATTCCCAAAAAGGAAAGTTTTGTCGTTTTGGACGGAGTTGGCCGAGGCCTACCATACCTAGATCTAGCTGGCCTCTAGAAGAGCTAGCTAGGAGTTGAGTAGGCCTCTATGTCTGCCTTGCTGCTCTGTTCAATCGCGGCCGGGCTAAGTAGACCTAGGCCTACTAGGGAGGCCTAGGCTAGCTAGGCCTAGTCTATTATCATTACAAAGTCGGCATCTTATATTTTCATAAACGAAGAAAACATCTAGTGCCTACCTCTCTTTCTGAAGACAATCGTTTTTAGCATCAACAAAAGCCATTGCTACTTTTTTTTCAGATTCTGTACGAAAAAAATACTGCTGTCTGTACTCCCTGTGTGCGCGAGATGGGTTGTTTTGATGGTGAAAGTTCAAAGTGTGAAAAATTCATCAGAGGTCAAATGTCGAATTATAAACATGATAGCTTCCGGTTTTAATTCTTGGAAAACCCTGTGTGTGAGAGCGTCCCCATGAATCGTTTTGCAGTCTGCTGTAGTTAGTGATTAGGGCTAGTCTGCATTTGTTGTACTGCATGCCAACTTTTTGGTTACAAACTAGCAGGTACAGCGCGTATAAAGCTGTTGTCATTCCTTAATTTATTTATCATAGAAGAAAACTTTGTGACGCTGTATTAAGGACGTTATGCATTAAAATACTCCTACAACAAACAAAATGGAAGAGACGTTCTCACGGATAGACGAGGGATCTTCTGGATGGGGAAATGCGTTTATGGTAAGAAGAGATGACTTGCTCGCTAAGCTAAGCCTAGGCTGCAGGCTAAGCTAGGCCTAAGCCTAACCTAGATTGAATCTTTAGAATCTCACAATTCGAATGTAAACTCTGGCCCTAGCCTCGGCGGCTAGCCTAGGCCTAGGCATCGGTTTAGTGAAATATGATTACTACTACCTAGCCTAGGGGCCTAGGCCTAGGCCTAACTATAGTAGTAGGCCAGTCTGCTCTCGTAAGTCTATGATCAGGCACTAGCCTAGGCCTAAGGCCTAGGTAGGCTAGCCTAGGCCTACCCTAGATCTAGCTAGGCCTACGTATTACTACTACTAGGTTAGTCAGTAATACATTAGGCTAGCCCCCAGACTGTATAATAAGGCCTGCGTGGTGAATAATATCTGTGCAAAAATTTGGCCTTGAAATCCGTCCACACATTTCGGAAAACAAGAGCTGATTTCCGTGCAGAAGTTGCAGACAATTAGGCTTTGAACTATTCTTTATAAACAATGTGTTATACAGTAAATAACGATTCTGCATACCTATTTTTTTATTTTAGCGATTTTCTGATCAAGTCTTAGCTGGTTTTTAAGTTATCATCCGCACAATTAAAAAACTAGGCCTACAGTAGAATATTGGTTTTTTTGCTGCAGGTTATACATCAAAATTTAAATCAAGTTCGTGCATAAAATTACTAGGAAAACTTTTATGATGTTTTCAGTCAATTTGACTTGAAAACCTTAATTGTGATTTAATAATAAATGGCTGTGTTTAAAAGTACCTGTAATAATAAAGCTATGGATAAGGAAAAAGACCTACTTGATTTGTCGATTCTAGGCCTGTATGCAAAATATACAAAGTAAAACGAGCGTTAAATCAATATTTAGAAAACCAGGATCCAATAATTAGTCGTAAATAAAACAAAAAGACAGTAACTCCGAAAAGAGACAGAGACATTTTGAGATTCAACGTTTCAATCTATTTGATCATTTTCAAGAATACTGGAGTTACTGTCTTTTTGTTTTAAATCAATATTACCATTAACAAAGTAAATTAACCTCAATACAGTCATTGTTAAGTGGAGCAAGAAATTGGAATTATGTTTTGGGTTTTTCCACTTTTCCAATCATCAGTGATATTTCACATGAAGTAGTATTTCTGACATACTTTTGTGAAGTAGGAAGGACAGTAAACCACCCTAGTAATATTATTGCTTTATTAATTTTTTTTTTTTAAGTAAATCTCATGATGTTACTGTATGTAGAGAAATCCTCTTTGCCCTATTTTTTTTAAAGACAACATTTTTTGTTTGGATGTGCCTCTTTTTTGTTTAGGGACTTTAGTCTAAGATAAAAATTTGAATTGAATACTGTACAGTATAATCTTTTAAATACCATCAGATGTAATTAGGCCATATTTAATATAATCTCAATATTCAGTTTAAAAATTATTTCCAGTTTAAAAGCAAACAGGCAAATAGCACATTAGTGAGCATATCATTCATATTCTGTATTACAGTAGTTTTCCTTTCCTTTAATTATTGGTTGTACGTATTCCATTTTAAAATTTATTCTGGTTGTATTGATTCCTGTTCTGCTAAAGTGTATGTACGACTGTACATCAACTTTTTGTTCATTTGATTGTAATTTTTGACTTGATTTTCATTTTGAAATGTTGTGTAATCTGCTACTCTAGCCAAATTAGTTTTGTGGCACAGAAACTGGCATCTCAATTCCTAGTAGGCCAAATACAAAAATTACAAGTTTCTCTTTACCTTGTGCATCAATTTTCTATGCCTCAACTTTTTTTTTTGTTTTTTAAAATATCTTAGGCCAAATAATAAAAAATACATGTTTCTCGTCCGGATTTTCTGAAAAAAGGAAGGAGGAGGCACTTGATATTTATTATTTTCTTTTATTTTGTTATTATGGTTTTTTGTTATTTTTCCCCCAAGATCAGATTGCCATGTTCCACCAACAATATACAGTACATGCTTGGATGACCTATTTAGGTGTTATGTATAATATATAATCACATAAAATAACGCAATAATAATCAAGGCCTAAGGCTAGAGCTAGGCCTACAACCTCGCTCACTTCAGCGATGTCGTACGATGATTTTTATCGCCAGCCTGTGAGATTGGAAGATCACGCGGGCGGTCGCGCATCATAACAAATGTTGGCCTAACTATGCCATCGACTATTTATCATTTTTCAGGCATTAAAATTCACAATTATTATATGTAAATGTTGGAGAACAATATGTATAGGCCATGAAATTTGGCGCACGATGTATTTACCGAAAATACAGTATTTACCTGGGGTTTTTTTGGCTAATTTTTTATCTCTTTTTCTGAAATTGAAAGATAATAAATAGCAAAAAATAGGAGGTGGCTCCAAAAAGGAAGCGGGCGGGGAAACATGTATTTTTTGTACTTGACCTTATTGTTAAGTATTATAGGAAAAAAATGTGACAAAATTGAAATTAATGTGTTTTTAATACATGAATGATGAAAATTTGATTAAAGTGTGATAAAGACAAGTCTTTGTGATATGTTAACCAATGTAGAAGTAATTTTAAAATAATTATAAATAAAACTGACCTTAATAATTAAGTTATGTTCTATTTATTTAATACTTTTTGCAATGTGTTCAGTATTGATACATGAATGATAAAATTAGATTAAAGTGTGATTGTCATTGTGCTATAATAAAATCAATATTAAAATAATTATAATTTCTGCTTTTAATTTACTTTAGCTATGTTCAATTTACTTAATATTTATTTTATTTCAGTGTTTTGAGTAATAGAAAAGAAATACATACATAAATACATAAACGATAAAATAGAATTAGATAAAAGCCTGGTAATAAGACAAGTCATTGCACTGTATTAACCAACATCGGTCGCTGACAGGTCTACCGGTAATTTCAAAGAGTGTCACCCACAAACGGATGACACTCTGAATACTGTAATTCCCAAATGGTCTTTGTTAACCAATTTTAAATTTAGTCGAATACACCGCAGCCGAAAATCATACAGGATGCTTGCTTCCTCTTGGGTAAAGCTCATCCATCGCCTGTATTTTGTCAGCAGACTGCTTAAGCTGATTTGCAACTTGAAAACCTCAAGAGAAAGTGTCTTTTTAATCAAAAGTTGAATTCTTAATCTGAATTGTTCAATTCCACTTACTAGTAAGGTCAAACAGAGGTGATGGCTAGCCGCAGTTCTTTAAGTTGATTTTATCTGGAACCACAGTGGGGGCATTAAAAAGATGTAACTTGTGATCCGTATGCAGAAATATTTTGGTCATTGTTTCTCTTCATTGCTAATTTGTAACAGATGCCAAAGAGATTGTCTGTGGTGAAATCTTAATAAAAACCTTAAATTTGATTATTGAATTGTTTATTTAAAATGATTTAAACAAATTTCCGATGAGTCCTGATAGAATAACAGAGTTGTTTTTTTTTCCGCAGATATTTCTACGAAAAAACTGAATACTTTTATAGTCTGTATTGTAGGCTTACCGTACCATACTAATACTATTACTACCAGCCAATCTAAGTGCATTTGCAAAGAATATAGAAATGATATTGTATATGAGTGTGTAAACAACCTGTCTTTATTAGTAGTAATTATAGTAGTAGTAGTATTATTATAGTAGTAGTAATTGTTTATTTACAGTTTATATAGATAATGTGTTTGTAGACCTGGTCATGGAGAAAATTAATTGGTCTTTAAGGTGTTGGTTAGTACACCATTTTTATACCTCTGTAGTTAGATTCAGGAATTAGAGTTAGATTCCTTCGGATAGTATAGTGTCTATAAAGGCATGTTTCTTCTCTTTATTTCAGAACATTCAAACAAATTGTTTTGAATTTAACTACACAACATTAGAAGCAAGGAAAGCCGACAATAAGAAGCGGAATAGGTATAGAGATGTCCTACCTTGTGAGTATTCTGCTGGCATGAACAAACAATGATCACACATATATTTATATTATATTTATTTTTTTTATTTATATATATTTTTTTAAGTGACCAACCTGTGATAAATATTCAACATTATACTTGGTTAATAATATTTTATTTTATATATATATATTTTTTTCTAATTTATAAATAATTACAATGCTCTCTAGGTTACACAATTACAGGCAGAGTTTTTCCATTGTCATCAGCAGCTTTTTTTTCTTAATAAGAAAAAAAGATTATCAAAATGATATAAGATAGGCATTCATTTCGGTGGCACAAATGCGGTCTTTTATTGGAGAGGTCTTTGAGTGGAGGAAGACCTGTTTTTGCACTGATTTCTATCTGTATCTTCCTGTTTAAATTTACTATTGTTTGAAAAAATTGTAACTATTTAAATGTCTATATTCTATCATATTTCTACATGTGTTTTATTTTTTTATTGACCAAAAAATGAAACTTGAATATATTCTCTGATTTTCTAATTATTATTATAGATTTTAAACTTTACACTGATATGGTATCTAATGATATAATGATGTTTAAATAGTTAATATTAATATCTTTTCTATTTTGATAAAACCTGAATTATTGATAAACTGGTTAAACAACATTAAAAATAAATGTGTATTTATAGTGCCAGTGGGAGTAGACCATTCCATTATATCATAAGGGATTCATCCATTTTTTTAAAGAGTTTTACAAGTGTGATGTGAAACCTATACTAGGAGAAGGGAACAGGGTCAATATTGCAAAGCCTCTTTTCTGAAGAAAATGAAAAAAAAAAATCATCTCAATATGACATTAAGAATTATCATATAATGATGTACTCTTTTTTTGGGGAGGGAGTGGGGGAGGGGGAGAATGGGAGGAAAGGAAGATCTCACAGTAAAGATTTTGTACCCCTCTTGAAAATGCTGAATGAAAAAATAAATACTGAATATATTATAATTGATCTCATAACCATGACCATTAATAGTAATATGCTGGTTTAGCAACAGTGATATACGGGGTTCTCACTGGCATGCTATGAGTGCAGGTCGGTAATCGTTGGAGAGGTGCTACACCGTGAGGCCCCGCGACCTTTACTCAGTGGTATACAAATATTGAATTAAGAAGATAATATTAATTAAATTTATTTTCCAGATGATCATAGTCGTGTAAAATTAGAAGTTGGCAACAGTGACTACATCAATGCCTGTTTTGTACATGGAAAGAAAGCTGGTAGAAAGTACATTTTGACTCAGGTACGTCTCTCTTGAATCCGCCACTAATCTGGTTTAATGAGCTTCATAACATTTAATTTTATTTTGCTGCACGTTGTGATGCTCATTGGTGCTAACTTCCGTGAGACAATTGATAATAAAGCAGTGAAAATGTGCAAATATTATGAATTTGCAGATTATGTGTTACTTTCCGGAAGATTCTTGCTTGCTTGAGGAAGTGCAGGAGGCCGCGAGTTCCGGGAGGCTTTGAACCCCTGCTTTGCAATAACAATATTTTCTTAGTACAATGCAACAATACAGATATTGAACCAATGAGTGGGGGAATTGGAATACAAGCATCAAGAAATGGAGTTGAATAGCTTGGTGGTTAAGATGCTTGCTTTCCAATTCCAAGAATGGGGAAAATTTAAACTTTTGCAGAATAGTTAGTAATATTTACAGTTGAAATTGCCTTAGTCAAATCCAAAATGCTATTGAAATATTTTTGATACTTTGACTTTTAGATAAAATTTGACTTACATATTGTTAATTAATGGAAAACACAGCAATTTGGCATGTAAAATAAGTAAAAGATCGAATTGGAAATTATTCGACTTAGGCACAGTTGACAAGGCAACTGTATTGCTTTCCATGAAGTAATTACAAAGAAAAGAGAAAATATGATGTAGAAGGTACAAAAAAAAGAAGAAAAGCAGGATCAAAAAACATAAAAAACACACATCTTACATAGTATTCACATAATTACTACTGCAGTTGTCAGTGGTATTAGGGTTCAAAGCAACACAAAATGCATCCTAGCAGAAAGCATTGCCACAATATTTGGGATTTGTACTAGATTTAAGGTGAGTGATTTTTAAACCCAAGGGCTTCTTTTTGCAAACTTTAGATTGGCTTCTTTTCGAGATGGGCTTCTTTTCAAGGCTACTTTTGCAAATTAAAGAGGGGGGATGGGCCCTTTCTTTTAAAAATGAATTCCGTCAATTTTGTGAATTTCTACTGTAAAACAATATATATGGCCACTCTAACATCAATCTGTATTATGGAGTGTACTGCATGGGCTTCTTTTCGAGGCTAATTTTGCAAACTAAAGAGGGAGCTTCAATTCGAGATGGGCTTCATCCAGAGGTTAAACCCCCTGGGCTTCAATTCGAGGTTTTACAGATGGCTCGTATCATGAGATTTTAATTCCATGATTATAATTCCAGGCCCAATACTATACCCAAAGAATCACATGACAATGCTCTACATTTTTATCATAGGCTGTGTTACCATCTGTTATTTAAAAATAAGTTGGAAATAACTTTTGTTTTTATTATGTAAATAAATAATAAGTTTTAAAAATATCTCTGAGTATTCATAGATACTACCACATAAATCTAAAACTTGGATATCAAAATTTAAAATGGAATGCTCTAATTTTAATGTTTTAATTATTAGCTTTAAACTGGAAGTTAAAACATGCCAATAGTAATTTGTATACCCTTAAGTTTCTGGCAGCAAATATGGTTTTTCATTTTAAAATGTCTGTAAATCATTAAAAAATTATTTAATTTTTTTTTTCAGTCTGTGACTTATTGCTAATTATTTCATAATGATAGGCTCATTTATCTGAGTGAATTAATTACTTTTTTTTTTATGGTAGTATGTCTTTAAAGATGTACTGTCCCTTGAAAATGACCAAAATTGTAAAAAATAATTTTTAAATTAACTTGCTCATTTTGCAGTAACATACAAATTATTAACTTGAGCAAGAAATCATTTAATTAAAAAAATGTGTTCCCTGATTTTTTAATTGGATAATTAGAATAAAGATAATTAAAACACTTCCAGTTACTGGGAGTATTTTTATTATTTTTTCGCTGTAAAATGATGGTTTTGATGGGTAAGCATTTTTTAAATACACTAATTTCTATGTTCAAGTTGATAATTTTTATGTTACAGGTACTTCAAAATGGGCAAGTAAATTTCAAAAATGATTTTTATGATTTTTTTTTTTCGTTTTTGGCAAGGGACAGTACATCTTAAACCCTGAAATATTAATAATTTCTTTTTATATGTCACATACTGTACGTTCATAATCATAACCATAATAATTTTCCATTTGGCATAGTATGACTGCAAATCGTTTATCAACGGTAGTTTGTTACTAGACTTTAACAGAAAAGATGCTGAATATGCCTCATATAATGTGATATTTTACAATCCAATATTATTATTGTATTTGATGAAATGAAGTAACAATTAAAAGTAAAGTGCTGTGTCAGTTTCTGAAGTTTTTGTCTAGGCTAGATTTCAAATTCCTGACCCCTTCAGTTGACACTACAATGTAGTCAATTGACACATTAAAAACCTCTGCAAGACTATAGATGTCTACTGAAAGGCGCTACTCAACCAGGCCAATGACTCATTCATGTATCTACCTTGCATTACTAATGATTTCTAGGAATTCAGGCTCTCTGATGCCTGGTTTTTTTTATGCACACCTATTGATTACAACACTTTTATGTATTCTAGCCTCTCTGATGCCTGGGTTTTTTTTTATGCACCTATTGATTACAGCACTATATACGTATTGTAGCCTCTCAGATGCCTGTGGTTTTTTTATGCACACCTATTGATTACAGCACTTTTACGTATTCTAGCCTCTCTGATGCCTGGGTTTTTTTTTTATGCACACCTATTGATTACAGCAATTTTTACAGATGCATACAGTATTCCCACTCGTGCATAAATACAGGGGGTATACGTTTAAAAAATATCTTTGAACAAGCCTGCTGGCTATACACATTCATTCATTCATTCATTCATAAAGGAATTTCATTTTATACAAAATAATTGCATTTGCAGTAAAAAACTGAATTTGTTACAATTTTACAGATAAAAAATTGCGCATACATATTCCATGTTTAATATACGTTAAAAAAATATCTTTGAACAAACCTTCTGGCTATACAAATTTATTCATTCAATCAAAATAATTGCATTTTCTGAATTTGTTACAATTTTACAGATAAAATATAAATGAAAAGCATGAGAAACATTTTACGTATTGAAAGTTTTTAAAATTCTGATGCCATGAAGGTAATACCTAAAAAGTTTTTCATGAATCATCAGGTTGATTACTTCTGTGCATGCATATTCCAACTCATGTATAATATACGTTAAAAAAATTGTGTGTCTCAGAGCAAGCCTGCTGGCTATAGACATAACACAGTGGCAGATCCAGGAATTCAAAAAGAGAGGGCCCAAGGAGGGATTTCCACAGAGAGCCAACAACACTCAGACTTCAATTTTAATATAAATTTATTTTTTTCTCAATTTTTAAAAATAATTTAGGGGGGTCCCGGGCCGGGTGGGTCCCTGTTGAATCTGCAGATGCATAACATAATTATAAGTTTTTTTGAATTGCATAAATGTACCATATGTCAAAAAGTTTTCATGAATTGAAACGTTGAGTTCAACTTCTATTTTTAGTCCACCATCTTTCACAAATGACTGAACCATTTTATAATATAAATAATGTTTACAAAAATAGTAATAGCACAAATAACTATACAAAATGAATTTATTATTTATTTATTCAACAATGTTTCTTGAGTGTAGCCATAACTGCAATGCTGACATGAAAGGGGCTCTCAACAAATACAATGTAGACATTACAACATTAAATGATATAAAACTACAGTATATTTATAAGATTAAAAAATTAGTAAGAAAAATATGATGAAAACAATATAAATATGAATGAAGATAGTAATTACATAATTATACAAATTACACTGCGGTCAACTTCAACCCAAATCCCTCTGACTATTGTTGGATGCTCTACCAACTGAATTATGAGGCAAAGCTGGTGGTAACCTCCTTTGACTGGAAACAATTTATTTTATGGCAAAAAAAATATATATAGGCACTATATAACAGCCAACTATATAAAACATAGTGATACTTTTAAATACGTACTTGATGTACTGTAATAGTGACATAATAAAGTAATGTACAGTGATAATACAGAATGTAAATACAACTGACATTAGTAAATACTCTCTACATAGATACATGACAAGTTATGAGACGTATTAAGTACAATTAAAGTGTAACAAGTACATGTATGATGGTACTTAAATACGTGACTACATGATACAAGTTTAATTTGGTGATGAAGCATTCGTACACATAGTCCTACATTGTGGAATAGCCTTCCCAATGCTATAGTATCTGTCGCTCTTCTTGCCGAAGTTTTTTTTTTTATTTTTAAAAGCTACCTGAACTCCCATTTTTTAAATTTCAATAAATCACACACATCTAGTATCTTCCTTAATATTTTATTTAAAATTTACTGAGCATGTCAGCTTTCAAAAATTATCCAGAACGTATATCAAATTGCAGTTGGTTTTGTTTTGTCAATATTACAATTTTGATACTTAATATTTATATGAACTAAATTATATTCTTTACCAACTGTACAGTTTATTTTAAGCAAGATCTTCAAATTGGTAGCTAATGAAAATATTAAATTTTCATCAGTGAAAATTCTTTACCTTAATATTTAAAAGTTTTTACCAGATTGTTCCACATAGACCATTTAAGTGAGATATTTTATTTAAAAATTATATTATGAAGTGCAATTACAGAAGTGACTCAACTATTCTCCGAGATAGTATGTTAATATACATGATGATAAATTTGTTATATTATTCTGTACTGCCGGCAGGTATGATAAAAAGTGCCATTGAAATCTAGGCCAGTGTGTGTACTTCAGACATTATCATTCAGGTTTCTGGGAAATTCCCAAAGTAGACAGCCATGAAAACTAACGTAACTCAGAATTCAAATATCTTGCAAATCTCTTTGTGCTAAAAATATTCAGATTACTGGCAGAGTCATTCGTTTTGTCTTGTCATGTTTTAGCATTCTACAGACAGATGCTGTATGTTAATCTCTTGTGTAATCCATGAGGGATTTTGTTGTTTGATGGGATTTTTAAATTTAACTAAGCATAGATTTAACTATAATCTGGAATTTATACTATTGTCTTTGATGCTCTAATAGTTTCTTTTTTTATTTGATTAAATTATAATGAATACATTTTGTATTCCAACAGAGGTGATTTTTTTTTTTTCATGGGATTCAATTTTTTTTAAACATTGATTTTATTTTTTGCTAAATTGTACCTTTGGGGAAAAGAATTTTTTGCCATAATACAAGTTGCACAACAGAAATTGCTAAAATTTAAAAAAATACATTTCAACTCGGGATAATCCTTGAAATGTATTTTTTCAATTTTAGCAATTTCTGTTGTGCAACTAGTATGTATTTTAATTATATTTCTATATATTTTTTTTACTAATATGTGTGTATTTAACGATCCTTTATCTCAGCTGTATTTATACCGTTGTGACAATAAAATTTTACCTTATCGTATCGTATCGCAAAATGCCAAACATCTCCAGCCGTGTTTGATATTTTTTCTTCAGCTTAAAATTACAGTAATTCTCCAGGTTTGTGGACCATAAATTGCAATGATTTTTCTATGGCTTAACTATACATTCTTAACAGTCATTTTTGACAAATACACCAAATTTTTCTTAGTATGGGACGTGTGCAACTTTTTTCTTGTGTGATTACAGGAGGGAAAAAAGATAGAAATGAAGACATGGGGAGAATGTGCTGTGTGCTTGAAATATCTTTAATGAAGATGAGAGGTTTACAGTAGGGTGAGAAAGTGGTATTATGAAAGTTTAAGTTTTGGTGCAGAGAGTAAAACATTTCCATATTAATACTGTCTTCAAGCACTTTCCCTTTAAACCTAGAGTATAATGAATATAGGCAACTTTTGAGTCATATTCATTCAAAATATTCACCCAGATATAAGTTCACCACCCAATTCCATGAGGTTTGAAAAGGAAATTAAAATGTATGTGTACCTTAATCAGCAAGTATGAAATGTTAAGCTTGTTTTTTCCAAAGATTAACATAATTTCTAATCTCAGAGCATTCCTTATTTCACTTTGTGATTTCCCACATTTTTGCATGGCTTATTTTGTGGTGACAAGACTGAGATATATTTTTCTTTTTTTTCTTTTTTCTTTCTCATCAGGGACCGAAAGATAATACTGCTGGTCACTTCTGGCAAATGGTTTGGGAACAGAATTGTAAGGTGATAGTAATGCTGAACAAAGTTATCGAGAAAGGAGTGGTAAGTTTAACTAATAATAATATCCTATTCAGACTGCACTTTGTTGCGATTAGTTGCGATGTAATCGGTGGTAATCCAAAACTGATTACTCCCGATCATAATCAACAAGCGCATTCAGACCGAATAAGACACAAAAAAAAACTTCATATTGGAACAGGTTAAACAGTAGTAGGCCTCCGGTGGCTAGGTCAATGTTGACAGACCTCAGCCAGTCCATGCCTGTGGAATTTGTTGTGATTTGTTGCATCATAATCGGGAGTAATAAAGATTGTAGAACCCAATCGTAACGGGGATAGCAATTGCGATGTCATTTACTTATTGACTACTATTGGTGAGCTTTCACACACGATTGTGAATTTTGATTGGGTGTCGCAATTGTTACAACCGATCGCAATGTGATGCTAGTCTGAAATGGGTATAGTGCTCAATTGTTTCATAGAGTTCATAATCATGCACACAAAAAAGAAGTACAGTTCCAAAGTTATCTCATGTGTATTAGCTCACCCCCTACTTTATATCGTAATTTGCATACACAGTGTTTCCTCGGTCATAAGCCAAGGATATAACTTAGCTTAGCTGACTTTTATATTTTGATTGGCCATCCCTATAAAGTACTGTATAAGCAGACTACCCCCACCCCCCCCCTCTCACTCTCTCTCTCTCTCTCTCTCTCTCTCTCTCTCTCGAGTAAGTACCTTTCTCAAATATGTGTCGCTCTTTATCTGCACCACACATAAAACATAGAGTAGTATTCTATTTTGAATGTCGCATTACTTGAAAATGCATACAGTACTGTTGCCAAAATGCTTTTATGTTTGTGGGGAAGAAGAAGCCAATTTATTCTTACTTTGCCTTTTCTCTTTTAATCCCGACTGTTTGTGACACACAATTGATAACTACTAGTATATTAATTTAATATTTCATTGTTGTTTCCTAATTCATAACTTTTTTTTGTGGGGGTGGGGATGGGGTGAGGATCTACTGCAGCAAACATTAATTGTCTATATTATATACTTCAGAATTTTATAATTCTGCAGGTTATAGAAGCTTCTTTATACACTAATAATTCCTTTTACTAAAGTGAAAAATAATTTAAGCCTGGTTCTCACAATCTCACGAGAGCCCTTGTATCCGGATCGGGAGCTATCCGTTAGCACCTGTGTGAAAATGCCCGATCGGTTAGTGCTAACCGTTAGCAGTATCGGGATACCGCTAACAGTTAGCAAGTGCTATCGGTTAGCACGTTGAGCGTGTTTCTATCATCAACCAATCACACATACGCGTTTACAATTTTCAGTTTCTTATTGGCCAGTGATTCGATCATATTCTTGGTATCCGGATCGGGATTTTTTTAGTATGGACACACGGCAGCTAACGGTTAACAGGATCTGGATCCTGCTAACCGTTAGTTGCCATGTGATGAACATAGCCTTAATTTAAATAACAGCAGATAATGTAATAAATAATGACAAAGTTGAAATATGACGGTGCCAAACTGTGATCTGGTATTTTATCACAGCATTCTCAAGTTCTGTGGACTTGCGTATTTGCTACAGAATTTTGATCCATTTTTGTATTTAAATACAACTTGCTGAATGTTGACACTTAAAATCTGTTAATATCTCTCAATTGAATGTGAATTTTAACGCTGGAACAGATCCTTTCTGTACTTCAATTGTATTTTGTTATCTACTTCTAAATGTTAGCTTTTAAGGGGTTGGAGAATCACTAGATAGTTTATTTATTACAATTTTGATCTTCCTGTCTACCCCTTAATGGTCTGTTTTTCCTTGCATCAATTCTTTCTTGCATTCCAAAAACAAAATAAATGAAATGAAAAATTCTACAAAAATGGAGGAATACAGAAATTTATCATATAGGCCCATATAGGACCACGTAATTATCTCAAATCCAGGACAATTTAATTTAATTTTTATATTTCTGCTGGATACCTGAACTTGTGTAATTATTGAAAATTCAACAGGGAACCCCCAAAAAAGTGAGCCATAAACTTTAATATGCCTTACTGTTTTTATGCTATATTTTAGGGACCTAATAATATATGCCTGTTTTTTTTTGGCTGTGTTTTTACTATACTTCCTGTAATTTAGAACAAACAATTAGGTTGGTAGTACTGAAATTTTTCATTTACTATACTACTGAATTTTTTAAATTATGTATATATTGAAATAAATTTATTAAGTTTAAAACGCTGTTGTCACATCAACTAAGGTAATATAAATGGATAATGATAGCAATCGAATTGTCATACCCCAGTTTAGGAGATAATAGGTTTCTATTCCGCATTTGCATGTGAAACTCCTTGAACAATCAGGAATTGCTTATCTGATGGTTTTTCCTAGAACTTTCTAAGGGTGGATGATTAAAATATGCTATCTAAACAAAATACTACTGTATTGCTGTTATCTACCATGTCTATTTTCTTGTTTCAAGCCATTACAACCTTTATCAGAACAAATTACTTTGCTATCAATCCAACTGAAAGATACATCTATTGCTTATCAGTTGGATGTGATGCCTAAAAATAGATCTTTCTGCTGTCGTAATATGTGGCAAAGACCAAAAAAACCAGTCACTTGTCGCAAAAAACGATTTTTAGTTATTAATACAGGGTTAAACAATAAAATGAGAGCTATAAAATGATAAAAGACTCATTTAAATCCCACATTTTGTTATGAAGTTACAAGCGTTTAAACATGCAGCGGTTTAAAAAACAATATTTGAGAAATCAGCCTTCAAACTTTATGATCTCGGACATTTTTCAGGCAGAAACCATCACCAAATTGTTAAAAATTGTTGTTTTAACATTGAGAATGGAAAAAATAACAGCATATCGTGATGTATAGATATATAAAGGTTAGTTTAATGCAATAAAATAGATTTTAAAAATTTAGACATTTCAGCATTTACTGTATTGGCCATTATCTCTAAAACACGATTTGCGATGTGTGACTGGTTTGGCTTGTCTGCCACATGTATTCATTTGTCTGTATATAGCGACCTAGATTTAAGCCAATTTTATTAATAAAAATATTTTTTTGTAGAAAAATATGTCTTGATTTGTGTTTAAAGCCAAGGTTCTGATTTTAAAACTATTGATTAATAGTATTATAGTATCCCATTAACAAATTATACTTTAAACTTGTGGTATATCTTCAAAGTTGTTTTTTCCCAGAATTCTATTTTCATACCGATAGTAGAAGCTGTATCTCTAAATCTTAGCAGAATCAACGTGATATAAATCAGTGACACTTTGTGGTTGTGGGATGAGGGACATGCTTGGTAATCAGAATATATGATTTTTAGGAAGGAAAAGGATGGTGTTTAATTTGCAATGTACGGTATCTGAAACAGTAGGCCTACTGTAGTAATTTGAACTAATGCCACAAATGTCATCTTTCAGCACCTACACATTTATTCACGGAAGGAATGCAAGAAACTAAAAATGAATTTCTACTTCAAGCTTTTAGGAACAGTTAAGATTTTTTTTATTGAATGTCAACTTTTACTGATTGAGTTGTTATTCTGGTAACACCCTGGAATCACAAGCCAAAGTGCGAAAAAATTTATATATTTTTTTCATTCAATCTCAATCTGGCATTTAAAATGCACAAAAAACCTAACAAAACTGCATAGAGTACTACAGTGTTACGTCACTATACAATGTGATACTACTCCATTGCTTTCGGCGACACAAAATGCGTTCAACCGGACACCATTTTCTCCACTGTCAAACCATTGAACCCAATTTCTAACGTCATTATAAGATGTTGTATCTTAGTTTTTCTTTGTAAATTTTAATTGATGACTAAATGTGTGTTCGATAACTAATATAATGCGAGCTTTTGTGTTTTTAGTACATTTTGATGGTAAATTATTAGGTTTTAAAATTGCCTATTCCAGAAAGTTTATGAAGTCAATCCTTCATAATGAACAGTAACCAACGTTTGGTTGACAACAAAGGGCGCCACCTGGTGTTGTGACGACACAAATGTTGTACTCTGTACAAATTGATATAAAAGATGAGGAGAAGCGATTAGCAAAAAACACTGACACTAGTATGGTAGTGTGCCAGTAAAATGACGTCGATTTTTTATTTAAAGAAATAAAATTATAAATTTTTTTTAAAAGATGGCAGCATAAAAAGGTACTACTATAGATGAGAAATGGATTTTTTTTTTAAATAATTGTTTTGATAATTCTTTATAAAATTGTCCTTCAACTTTTCAAATTTTAGCTGGGCACCTGGGGATCCTCAGCATCCAAGTTGCAGTCAGCCCACTTTAACATAACAGATACATGTTCATAACCAGCCTAACTCTCATTGTGAGTATTTTTTTGTCGTATACTCAGCTCAGTTTTTGATTTTTTAATGACATAGTCTCACTTTTAATTTCAGTTGAAATGTGCACAGTATTTTCCTTTGGGCGGTGACGACAACAATAGAAGTATGGTCTTTGATACCAACTACCGAGTTGAGTACATAAGTGAGGAGGTCTCGTCCTTCTACACTATTAGGACGATGAAGCTTGAACATATTCCTGTAAGTTTTTTAACCCATTAACGTTTGTGTAAGCTAATAAGCTGATACCATAAAATTCAATATTTCAATTGATTATTTGTTTTTCATTGTTACTTTTGGGAAAATTAAAATGAGAAAAAAATGAACCAGGGACAAATTACATGTAAATGGCACAATTACTTGCTGTAAATATTATTAATTCATTTTTTTTTTTTTTTTTTTTTTAATCAAGATTTGTCAATAGCATATAAATTTATAAATTTTAGATTAAAATAAATAGGCAAGATTACAAGTGTAAATATCCCCCTCTAGGGTAAGGAAATACTAATTGCATTATAGGTCAATAACAGCAACAAAAAAAAAAAAAGACAGGCTGCGATGAGAATCTAACATGTATTTACACAGATGGGCGCAAGTTAACAATAATATACACTAAATTACCTGACTTTGAGTTATAACTGGTTTTTTTTTCTGTGTATTTACAGACTGGAACTAGTAAACAAGTATTACATTTTCATTACACTAAATGGCCTGACTTCGGTGTGCCGCAGTCGCCTGCAGCGTTCCTCAGCTTCTTAGCAGCAGTACGAGAAAAAGGTGGCATGGATGGTACGGGAGGTCCACCTGTAGTTCACTGCAGCGCTGGTGTCGGCAGGTCTGGTAGTTTCTGTTTAGTAGATACCTGCTTAGCAATGGTAAATTTACATTTTTTTCTCTATGGAAATCTTTGCATCCATTTAAAAAAACACTAAAATAATTGGAGGTAATACAGTGTAATATTTCTGAAGTTGAAATCTGTTGAGCTAAACATTGAATCATAAAATGACATTTATTTTCATGTACTATAATCTGTATCTTAACACTTATGACAAATAATGTGAACTTGAGCATTTGATTAATAAAATTAAAGAATAAAAAGTAAAAAGAAATCAAATTATAGAATTAGTAAATCCAAATTTAGGTCAATGTCGAAAAGTAATGAAAGCAGAAATATTATCCACCGTCATATGCTGCTCACTATTAAAACTTGTAATGTCATTGTCGGTAATAATTTATCAAGAGTAAATTTCTCCTTGAATCCTAGATGCTCAGTTCTTGGAATTTTTGATATCTCAATCCCCAATTTTATCTTATCTATGTCATTTGGCAGCAATTTGTATTTTGGCTACCAAATGGCATATTTCATGCTGTTTTTTCAAGAGCACTTTATCACATTTAATGTTGAAAACTCTAGATTTAAAGCAGCAATACCAAATTAATTTATTTCCTTTAATGTAGGCTTATACATTTAGATGGAAATTACTTAATTTTAAATTAGGTTTGCCTCTCATAATTATATTTTGTTTGAAGGTTTGCATGGCAAAGTAATAATATATTAATACTTGCAGTATATCTCTCACTTGTGTATTAAAATCCTCATTAAATTTTAAAAAATAAATAAATATGTTGATAAATAATTGAAATTTAAAATCTAAATACAAAACTTAGGCCCAAAGAAATTCCTTATAACGATAATGAAATTGGGTAAAATACCTACAGTGCCCGAGTTGGGTAGTAGCTTCCATAGTGTTAATAATAATACCGTAATAATATAGAGGCCAAGTAAAAATAAGAAGTAGTTTCTTGTTCCCTCCAACAAACTTTTCTCCTTTTGCCTCAATTTTTCTAGCATTTATATCCTCCTTAGTTACTTAAATAGTGATGATTTGTTAAGATTCATTTATTTTGGTATACCAAAAGGAATAATTAAGACTGACTGCCAAGAAATAGGCCCCTTTGGGTTTTTTTAAAATTTTTTTATTGAAATGACTAAATTATTTGTTTATCTTGGTTTTTTTCATTAATTCAAGAAAAACCCAAAATTTATTAAAATATGATTAATAGAAAAATTAAACATTTGTTACTTTTACTTACTTACTTGTTTACTTGTTTCTGGAACACTGCAAATCTGCAAATTCCGGAGTAGAGGCTAGGCTATGCCTATAAGCCCCTCTTAAAAATAATATCACTTCTTGAATATGGTGCAAATTTAATGGGTGGCTGGCCCATGCTTGTTCAAGACTTGTACTAAAGCTATTAAGAGTTTTAGCAGAAACAACTGATTTATACTATTAACAGTATGTTAAAATTGGTTTCTTTTTTTTATTGTGATAGATTGAGAAAGATGGAGATGATAAAAGGGTAAATGTAATGGAGATTTTATTAGACATGAGGAGGGATCGTATGGGACTCATTCAAACCCCGGCTCAGCTTCGATTTTCGTACCTAGCGCTCTTGGAAGGAGCCCACGCTGTATTACAGCACACACCACTCGGCTCACTAGCGGCTGAAGTAAGTTAAATCTGTGTTTTTCGTTAATACTCATTGGGATGGGGAAATGGAAAATAACAACAAGGAGTGCAGCTTAGCTCAACCTACTGTAAAGCTGGTGGTAGCCACATGTTGTGCACTAAACCGTGGAGATACTACAAGTTTATGTTACTGTTTAATTTACTTTACACTTTTTTAGGATGAAGTGCCTTCAGGTCCACCGCCGTTACCACCTAGACAGAATAAGCGTCCTCATTCACCTGACAACCCCGATATGGCAGGAGAAAAGTAAGTGCTGTACTTCTTTGTATATTTTGATGAAACATTAAAGATAATTAACATTTATGTAACTAACAAGTAGTTAAATGAAAGAATACTCTCTGAAAATATCCTTGATGTACACTAAAAATAGTAATAATGGTAGGTTGCCCTTCACATTATTAGTATCTCAGGTCACTGGATTAAACACCTATGGAGCACATACTCAGCTCCCTGTGGGGGATTATTCCATATTGTTGCAGCAGCTAAACAGCATAAGGCATTCTAACCCTACGAGGTGCCCACGTAATACTTCTGAGTGGAGGCAAGCAATGCAGATAAAGTGCCTTGCTCAAGGACACATTGAGGGATTAAAACTCTGACCCAAGATTGGGAAACCAAGTCGTTCCCGCACTTATACAAAAACGTGAAAGGAGCTCAACACACACTTGCAGAAAATTGGACACTACTAGTGACTGTTGTGAAGATTCTTTGTCGTAGGAGTGATGTTTTGCCCTACCTGACGTATTATCGTACCGAATACTCAGTATGTCCCCAAATACTAGGTGATTCGGGTGGGAATCAAACCCACGACCTCCAAGTATCTAGCCTGATGTCTTAACCATCCATGTCCAGGATAACCACCGAGCTTGCGCTTGGTGGCTAGTGATGAATCCGATCCCCTGGTAGCAGAGGGTACTGCAAGTGCTGTAAGGATATGAATTTGCGTCAGGAAAATATCATAGGAGTGATGTTTTGCTCTAGATTCTTTGTCGACAACCACCTTCTGATGTCCTATTAAGGGACAAGTCGATCCATGTGTGCAGGTTGTTATGAGTCCCTACTGTATGTGATTGAATTTAGCTGTTAAATCAGCCTCGCTACGATTGTCTAAATAATCTGGAAGTCTTTGAACAGTTCTGACAGTTGCTTTCCACAAAATCTGCCTTTCTCATGTCCATGTTGTTGATTTGTTAAAACCTGTGTTCTTCAAAGTGTCTCTTAATATTTTTGATCATGCTGCTTGATCATGCTTTCAGCTCATGAGGAGATACGCCATCCAGTTGAGGTGCTTAATGTTGTAGGCCAGTCATAAGTTTCTCAATGTCTTTCATGATAAAACGCATGTCCAGGATAAACATAGCTTTTTTTCCATGACTTGTTGTGTGGCTCCAGACTTCAAAAATAAATTCAGAACAAAATTGATGGTTTCTGCTTTATAGCCCACAAGAACATATGGCCAGCAACTTAGAGCGCTGTAATGCAAGAAACATTTCGTTTATAGGACTCAAGAAGATCTTAGTGTTTTCAGTTTAAACGAAAGCTAGCCCCAATTGCATCTCTATATAGGATTTAAGGGCTAATCTGTCTGTGTTTTGCAGTTTCTAACGTGGACCAACATGTTCAATTTAAATGAAAGCTAGCCTGAATTACATCTCTATTACAGGAATTATGGGCTAATCTATCTATCTGTTTTCGCAGTTTCTTAAACGTGGACCAACGTGAAACAGAACCGTACTTTCTCACACGATTGTACAAGCATTCTTTCCTGTTAATGTCCCGTTTAGTGAAGCTAGTGATGTATGGGTAAGTAGTGTGACTTGAGTTGGTCGTTGATAGGATATGTTTTTCTATGAAGCAGGAAAGAATATTTTTTTGGAGTAAGGGAAAAGTTCCTCTATACTGGGAGCATCTGGAATACTGTTAGTGAGTCCGAAGTTATGTGGTACGTGTTTATATCCAATTCCACCAAAATTACCTTTGGCGTAGATAAAAACTCTCCGCTTGGGTGGTCTGGTAATTTTGGAGCATCAAGTGATGGTCGCTAATTCTGTGCTGAACAGAGTTAAACTGTTGTTGGGACAAAAACCAAAGATGTTTTGATTGTATATGTGGTCATTCATAATTATCAAGGCAGGAAGCGTGAAACCATTCACAACATCGCTCTTTTTTTGGTCATTTGGCACCCTTATAATAAAAATAAAAAAATGAATGAGAACCAGTGTTCATTTCATTTTTGTGGCTAAAACAATGCAGCTAGGCATGCATGAATGCTTGATTTATTGTAGAAGAAAGAGGTGGTTGAACACTTTCAGCGGTTGAATAACATAGCACAATGGAATGAGCTCAAGGAGATGGAGATCATAATCACAGCCTTCTTTTATATAAGTACGCTGAAGAAACATAGTCCCTAAGGAACAGTGGAAGTACAATGTGAAGGCTAAATGTTATTGTTGTTATTGTTGTTGCTGTTATTATTTTTTTAAATTTTGCAGTAAATATAAATCTAGCCAAACACATTATTAAGGTTGAGATCTCCAAAAAAATTGTTATTGTATTTTAACAACTAAGATGTAGATTTTGCAGATTTAAATTTTGTAGCACATCTTTAAAACAAAGCCAACAGAAAAAATTCAATGTTTTACCCTTCTACACCCATTCACATTTTGTTGCATGGTGGTTTTGATGGCTGAACGGTCTTAAGCATTTATTATTTAGCATTTATCCTAGTAATTGATCCTGATAATTGATCCTAATTTTTAACCCTAATCTTTAATTCTAATCTTTTATCCTAATCTTTAATCCTAAATATTTTCCATAAACATTGATTCTAATCTAGAATTCATAATTCTCTTTTCAGTGCTTCAGTCTTAAGAAAAAGACTCCGAGATGAAAAAAATCAAGCAATGAAAGAAAAAGTAGAAAGGATGAAGGAAAAACAACGCAAGAGTGAGGCTGGAAAGAAAAAAAGGTCATTACTTAAGTACGTTGGGGTCGGGGTCGGGGTAGGCATTTTAGTCGGTGCTTTCATTGTATACAAATGGTATTATTGACAATTGGTATTAAACTATTTAAACAACAACCGCATTCCATGTGCAAAAATGGGCTGTACAACTAATGCTCTCTATTGCTGCGAGGATAACAAAATTTAAATTTTGTGGCAGTTACTAACATTTGTAGCAGGTTGTATGGTCCATTTGTTAGTGGGTAATATGAGTTATGAAATGTTAAGACTGCAGGTAGATTGACAGCCTTTTAGTAGGCACGTAACCAGGTTCATGGAAAAGGGGGGTTTCCTATAGGCCAAATTTATGATAAAATACTACTACAGTAGTAAATTGGTCAAAAATTGGGGTTCAGCCAACCCCCCCCCCCCCCCCAACAATCCACACTGGTTACTGGCCTCCCCTTAGGACGAACCGATCTTGCTATTGTCATCAGATTATCTGGCTATTACATGAGGTTATCTGTCTATTATCTTAAAAATTATCTAGCAAATATCTACAGATTATCTGGCTATCATCTGTAGATTATCAGAATATTATCTATATTACTTTTGTATTAACTAGAAACTATCAACTGTGTTGAAATTTATAGACCGCTATCTGGCTTTTATCTAGATACTGTCTGGCTATTTTTATAGTCAGAAATTGAAATATAATGGGCCGAGTTAAATAGGTCCACAATTACTTGACGGAAAAGTGGCATCTAAGTTGAGGGTAGACTGATGATGTTTTCCTTCAAGAATATTGAGTTCATGATATGTTTTTTCCTACCTCAAAAGAATATCGTATTTCATCAAAGTGTTTAGCGTGTGGATCTACCACATTTTGTATAATCCATGCAGAAATCTGTAATTTTTGGCTGGTATATTGATGGTTATATTCATCTTCAAAGTAATTTTTCCATTTGGTGGTGCTTGTAGTATTTTCTTTCTTATATGGCTAAAGCCCTGTTAATACTAACAAAGTTTTCTGTGACAAGTACATGTGATTTATACATATACTTGTGTGATATGACATCATCATACCCATATATGGTAATTCGCATATTTTTGGCACACAAAAATTGTTAGTGTGGACAAAAATTTAGGTGAGGATGTATAATTTGTTTTTCTCTTTCTTATTCTTCTTTTCATAAACTGGAAAATAATACAACATTTCAAACATGTTTAAACTAAAGCCCAGTTCAGACTAGTGGCGGCACTAGAATATATTTTCATGGAGCTCAGTTGTCCGACAAGGGGGGACTTGAGCTCGTAGGCTCAAGCTGGGGAAAGTGGATGAGATTTTTTTAAGAATAGCAACCTCTTGATGGCCGGAAATGGCACTCTCCGACTGTGACTGACATGCGTTGGCTTGGTGTGGGCCTATTTTTATATGTTTTATGGTCTGACTGTCCAGCGGGGGACTTGACCTGTCCAGTGGGGACTTAAGCCCCTTCCTGTACCCCCGCTGGCGCCGCCACTGGTTCAGACTTGACCTCCTTTTTGTCAAAGTGACTATCTCCATGTTAAGCTCACACTTGTGAAAGAATAACAAAAAATATGGGCTTGTCTTAGATGACAAACCTTTTATTAATTAATTGGACTGATAAATGCTTTACTTCTGAAGAAAAGAATATTTTCATCTGGCGGTCTCATAATCGCAGGATAAAAATTTTCTTTTTTTTGTCAATAGTTCCTATTTTTCAGAGTATAGGCATTTATAATGCGCCTCTTCCTTGAGGTTATAAACCACAGTTCTTTTCCCTGGTCATTGGGTCCACATGCTTTAAGTGTTGCTGTTGGTAACCATGAGGCATCTCACAATTGAAGATACACCATCATTGTTGACCTAATAAAACTTGAACAATAAAACAAAATTATATCTGAATTTCTTACTTTTGTATATGTAAGTATTTAGTTAATAGCTTTCTATAGAATGTAAAAAACAATAATATTTCCCATCAATTAACATAGATAGCTACCATTCCTATATGTTAATAATTACATTGCAGAGATTCTTAAATTATCAAAGGAAGCAGAATAAAATGTCTGTAAATCAGCAGAAACATTACTTTTTTTTTTGAGAATCTTAATCATTTCAAACAGTCATTTCTCAAAAATTATTAATGATCTTGTCATAAAATGTGGGATTTGATACTTATACAGACAAATGATGTTTATTTATAAATCTTTTTCTGAGAATAATAGGGTGGCCTGGGAATCCATGCATGATTGAGTATGAAATGAACTGAAACATTTGCCTTGATTCTCATTATCCATGTTTAACCAATCATATAAATTGGCTTCAAAATACATACAGAGTAGTACTATACATATATTCCCATATGCCCTCTCCCTAGGGTTACTATTTATATCTCCAATAAATCCGAGTATAATCAAAGCTTAATAATTACACCTCCTAGGCCCTATTAAAAGATGACGATCTGGAAAGGTAGATCAGGAGAAACCAATTTAGAGACAGATCACTCATGATGAATAAGCCTGAGTTCTTACCCCACCCCCCCCATGTTACCTGCCTTTTCAACTAGACATGTAATCTTAACCAATGCGCTTTGCAGCAAATGATAAAAACAAAGGGAAAAAAATACTTTCAACTTAAACCTTCAACAAGGTCACATTTGTCAATTGTGAATTCACTTTCTTTTTGTATCACAGTAGTGCCAAAAGGGGGTCTGGTAGAGCAAGTGCCCCTGGGCCTATTATGGTGGCCCCGGCTACAGAGTTCCAGTAATTTTTTTCCGCTGGTTGGGCTTCAAAACAATTTAATAAAATTATATGAAGAACTGTTGTGAAATTTATATTTTTTTTTTTTCCATAAGATATTCATAATAATTGACTTCAATTAAAAATATACCTTCAATATTTGATGTGATAAATAACTAATCATTTTAATTCAGTAATTTGGAAATGTATATATATTCTTATGAAAACATTATTTTTGGTTAATTTTCAAGATTTTTATAGGTTTTTAAAAACCTTTTTTCTTTCATCCTTATTAAAATTGTAAAGTACGTATTTTTGTATTCAAATTCTAATAAACAATTTTTTTTTTATCACTTGACATAATTAGGATATTATAGTAACATGAATCTTTTTTATACAGTACCTTCGTGATCATAAATAAGAATAATATTAATAATGTCTTGACCTATAAAAGGTTTATGTTTTCGAAAATCTAACAAAACAGAGACTAAGAACGAAATTAGGTGAGCAAGTGAATGTGTTTCATATTTAGCAAATAAATCATTCATATTGTTTTATATACGTGAGATACCCAGATCATGTGACTTGTCTAATCCAATAGCTAGCTGGCATTTTGACAGGTTTATGAGGTGTGATGATGTGTGTACAGTAAACAATCTCAAGATAATTGCAAGACTAATTTTGCCATTACCATTAAATTCAGCCATGCATAGTATGTATTGTATTGATGCTATGCAAAATAGATTGTTCTCGTCACTCAGAATGGAGATTCTGTTCTATGGGGCATGTCAATATTATGAGTTTATGAAAATGTTTGCGAAAACTGTTTGGCTGCACATAATACACTAATTGAATTAAACTTATACTCGGATCTGAGATCCCTGGGGAAGAATTGCATATCGTTCCAATATAATCAGTGCATTGGTGTGCGGGCCTACCTGGCACTCACTTATACCCCCAGTTGGAGAGAGACAACCATGGTTCCTCATCCAAGGACAAAAGTGAAATTCACAGCTAGGCCTCGAATCTTCAACCACGGTGTTGCGAACTTGATATGCAACCGATAACAGTCAAGCAGTTTGAAATGTTTGGCACGAGTTGAAAATAATTTTCCCTGCTGATTTTTTTTAATTTTTATTGTCTTCAGATTTATATATTTAATGTGTGTCAATTAGAGAACAGTAATTAAATTGACAGAAAAAAAAAATCCCCCAAAACATGTCACCCTATCCCTTACATAATTCCACTAGCTTTAGTTTTACTTTTTCTGTTTATTTTTTTGTATCCACACAGAAAAAGCAGAGGGCCTTTAGGAAAGAAGTAATACTAACAGATGAGCGACTAAACTAATGTATGTACAAGTCTTTGACTTCAAACTACTGTACTATCCTGCACAAGTAAATGTATCAGTTTTCCCAGTGGCGTAATAGCTATGAGCTCTTGGAAATAAAGCCTGGGCCCCGACTTTTATAGACCCCTTGTATATTCATCATTTTTGCCCCACACTGGCTGTGCAGAGCCTTTGAACATGCAGAATGTATAAATACCTATTAAAATCCCATAAAACCTGTAAAACCACTTTGTTCCTTCCCCTACTAGGGTCTACCCAGTCCCCAGGTTAGTACTAAGTAGGACCCAAAGAAGCCTTAGCACAAGTGTTTGGGGTTCACACGCACCACTCCATGATGGCAAATTAGTTCCACTAAGTGGGTTAAAATACTAACCAACAATGACTAAGTTGTCATTGGAATAGGGATTTAGTTCCAAAGTTTTTGCACCTCAGGCCATTTTATCCCCTCCCCCAGACCAACACCAGCCTATGCTGTTACGCCACTGGTCTTTCCACCAGTAATGTCTGTAGCATGCATGTCATGACATTACTGGACCCCATATATATTTTAGACAATTAATGAAAGTAAAGTCAATGAGCTCTTATGTACACAGGGGTGGCACCAGCGGGGGCGGGGGGCCACATTCGTCGGGGAGAAATAAAATGTATATGTATTTAAAGACTCTAAAATCGATTAAATAAACCTTTGAAACCCCTAAATTGTCATATTTTTCGGGGGATTTGTCCCCCAAAACACTTTCGAGAGATTTTGGGCGATATCTGACCATGCCCACTTCTTTTCCTCAGGGACGTCAGACCCTCCGTTGGGCAAATCCTCGCACCACCCTTGTATGTACAGTTATTAATTATAGAGGAATGTTGTATATGAGAAGAAAATTAGGCTGTGAACGGTTTGATATTAAGGTTGTGCCAAATACACAAAATTAACAGTTGTGTCAGATATGATAATCAAAAGAAATTGTGGATCCATATACAATGTGATGCAAGCAAAAATTCATAAATAGAAATTATTGAAGATGTGCTTATTTTAAAGGTGAAACATTTAAGATGCATTAAATGCACCTCATTTTGTAAATGAAAAAAAAAATCAATGCAAGAGTATCTGTATATTACTGGTACTATATACAAATTCCTTGAATGCTTATCTTAATATTGTCTGCTGTATAGTTTCACGAAATGATATTTTGACCTTTAGTTTCCTTTATTAGCAGTTTTTCAGTTCTTGGAAGTCAAATACTAATGTGCATTCGTTTTAAAATTCATATTCTATTTTCTGATGAAAACATGTGTTTGTCTGTCTGTGAATGCCAGGGTGTCCTGCGCTGCAGTGTTAAGGCCTTCTCAGACAACGTCATACGACGCAGCCCTACATGGTATATCGTCGTAGCAGTCTTTACGTCGTCGAAAGGATATTAAACATATAATATTTAATATACTGTTTCTGATGCAGACCTATCGTCTGCGTTTAATTAACACAGACCCGCCTCAACAAGAAACTGCATTGGGCTGCATTATACAACACTGTCTAATTTGGCGTTTAGATGTTAAAATACATACCAGAAACAGACTAACTACTGAGTAATAAGTAAGCCCAGATATTGGTGTGTTGTACAAGGCCACCCAACTCACAACCCACATCATTAGGTTCTCTTAAAAAAAAAAAAAAAATTTACCAAGTAGAGACCCAAAAAATTGATGTTACGGATCCAAAGGGTGTGAGAAACAGCACTAACCCCTCCACCTCCCCCCTCCCCACAAAGGGCAAACATTTTTTTTTATATAAAAGCAAATGATTTGCCATATATAAAGGGTATCCATGTTTATTTTAACAGTTTTTTTTTTAATCATGGCAAAAACCCATAGATCTCAGGGAAACAACCATTATAAAGATAGTAAACTTTAGTTAGTAATATTAGTGATGCAGTATATAATGTATACATTAATTTTAACATGTCCAATGCAGTCACAGTAGGCCTAAGTATTTAGTAATCAAATTGATCTTGTAAAATACCAAACTACAGTATAAGAAAACATCACAAAATTTAGAATGCATTAAAGATACCACCAAACAAATGATAAAGAAAAAGCTTAAAAAAAAAACTTAAAATTGCCAAAGTTGCCAGCTTTCAGTAACAGATCAAGCAAAATATACGATAAGCAGTTTCCAATGGTTTACTTAAAACTCTTTAAATTTTCTGCATTTAAAAATCCAGACTTTTGTAAAACATAACCCAGGAAATGTTTAAACTGAGTTTTTCCATGTGAATTCCTGTTTTTTGGAAAATCTGTGTTTCTAAATGCTGATGTGTTCATATGCACTGTTTTGACTGGAGTATAAAAAGTGGTCAATTGCCTGTGTTTTGGGGTTTTTTTTCTGATGATATGTTCAATCGAGGCTAAGCATTAACCTTTCAAATTTCATACACGACATAATTAAAGTTCTTGTCCTAGATTTTGCAGAGGACAGTAAAGATATCCAGTAAGAGTTTGAAAAATTTAAGTATTAGTGTTTATTCTATGACAGATTTTGTACAAATATTGTAAAAGAATTTAAGTATCTTCAAAGTATTTAGCTTGGTTTATAAAACAATGCTCTGTGAAAAAAAAATATCTGTGAAATAAGGGAATGTAGTGAATTGAAAGTGAGAAAGATTGATGTAAGTTTTCTATCTCCACTTACTTTAAAGGCCGATTTTAATAAAATCTTACTTATTGACATGACATGAGCAGAAGAGCAATGTGTCGCCCAGCATGGAATCATTTTCTTCTTCTAGAATTCATCAAACAAAAATTTTCTGAACAAACTAACTAGTCGTCTTTCATTGAGTATGCAGACTGCAGAACAAATCATGAATGTTGTCGCGTGTATGAAAGTTTAATGGGCGGGCCCGGTAAGCATACCAGTTTTTTTTGTTTTTTTTCCCGCCAATCATAAAATGATAAATGCCCTGCCCAAATTCGGCCTGTTGTTTCGTTAAAATCAATATTCAAACACACTTTTTGGCAAATTATTGATAGGGCCTACAGGAGGGTTGCCCCACCTACTAAAATTGTTGTACTAAAATTTTTGGATGGGCCTAAGCCTGTCTGGCACACACTTTGCTGCTGCCAGAGCACATGCTATTGTTGTACTTTGCAAATTGACCTAAAAATTTAGTTTATACAGTACTGTAATAGCCAATCATACCAACCAATACTAAATGATTGATGATATTGTCTCTTACCTTTCCAATATTAAAGAAAGAGAAGAAAATGCTGATAATCAGAAACAGGCTCAAGAATCATGATATGCTTTTGTGTTTGTTAACCATTGCATCAGTATAATAATTCTGCTCAAATTCTGTATATCTTTTTTAAATGCATTAAGATCTGTTTATATTTATCATACTCCTCTTGCGTCGATTCATTATGTAACAGATTATCGTTGTAATAAAGTGATTTTGTTTTTCACATCTTCTGCACTACATTTTTTTGTGTCTACTCTAATTTAACGGAACTTCCGGAATGTCAATCAAACTAAATAATTGATGGTGTAAACACCAATTATAACCAACGAAAGGCTGATGAAGACTTATCTCCAGTGGGGTCCTTCTGGTGGTGATTGAGCAGTGCACTGGGAGACAATCCCCTACTCTTTTCCGAATAGTGTAACGTTCTTCGGGAATGCACACGAGACCAACAGATTTAATGTCTCATCCGAAAGACGGTGCGCTATCGTAACTTGCATTTTAGCCCTCTAGCTGAAACACAAGGAGAGGCAGCGATGGGAATTGAACCGGGGACCTAGAGGTCTCTACATTTCAGTGCACACAAACAGTGGCTATCACCAGTTTAGCCGACTGAGCTAAGATGCTTTTAGAGATCAGTTACAACTCTTCTCATAAGCACATGTGCTGTCCCGCAGCCATATGAGGCACGTCTTGGCAGAATGGTTTAAAGTTTTCGCACAGGCCAGTATTGAGTAAATGAGCTATTAAATATGGGACCTTAAAAAATGCTCTAAAATTGGTTTTTATTTTCACTATAAATCTACAGTTTAATGTATGATCATGTCTGGAAATGTCAACAAATTGTTTATTTAACATTATTTTTGTAGAAATGCTATTAAACTGTATGCACAAATATCTTTGAAAGACAATTAATCAAAAGTTTGTTTTATCTTGACTCTTAAGAGTGCTGTACTTTCACTTCCCATTAACTAAGGCTTGAAATGTTCAATTTCAAAGAATAAGTGACCCCTCATTTTAAAGACGTGAATTTTGCTACAACTTAGCAATTTTGCCACAACAGGCCTCATATGTGTTTATGTATGTGCCCATCTACAACCTTTACCTGAAAATCCCGCATCATTGAACACTGCTCATAAGTACACTATTAGATGTGTATAAGAGACAGGCTGTATAGTTTCACGAAATGATATTTTGACCTTTAGTTTCCTTTATAAGAGACAGACCCCACACCTCTCCCCACAGGCTTGCCAAAAGTTTCACTATAATATTGAATTTCCATCTTTGGCAGATTTCCTGGAAGCCACTTCAAGGAGATCTGGCTTATTGAGCTTTATTATCATGTATTTTGCTGTTCGTGGTAATCATATGAGGCAGTTATCTACGTGGTGTACCACAAGCATTAATATATACTATTACTTCGCCATGCAAACCTTCAAACCATATGAGGTATGTCGTGGAAAAAACAGCCACAGACCATGTATTGAGTAATTAGCTATGAAACTTGAGAGCTTGGAGATAAAAGAAAAATGTCACTATTAATTGATAGCGTAATATATAATTCAGAGAGAGTGCTGTACTTTACTCCCCAATAGCTAAGGCTTAAACTGTCCACCCCTCATTTTAAAGACTGATTACATACTCATCTAGAGCAGTCATTTGAGCCATATGAGTGCATACCTCTGCCATGTGCCTGAATGCAGTGCCAACAATACGCAGGTTGTCTATAATGGGCGATACTGCAGCATACCCTCAATGAAATAATAGAATTGCCCGTCGTATTCAGGCACATCTTTTTTGTAGGTGCATCGGGCACATTTACGCAGTGCAAGGATTGCAGTGAAAACGCTGTAGCGAATGTGTAGCAATGCTATGGAAACCAGGCTTAAACAGACAGACAGACAGAAAGACAGCCCGACAGATAGACAGCCATGAATAAATAACCTCTTTGGCGGAGGTAAATATCTGAATATTTGTACCAATAAATTTAATTTCCAAATTTTGCTACAACTTAGCCATATTTTCACAGCGTTGCTCATATGGCCAGCTGACTTAAAGACAATTTTGGGGTTGTAAAATTATCTGAAGTTTGCAGGAGAATGGGTTAGTAATCAACAATATTTGCTATGAGAGTCCGAGGACCGAACTGATTTCCGAGAATTGGGACGTACCACTGCTGTTGGGACAGCGCTGATAATGAGCAATTTAATTTCAGGGAGTTGGTCATGGAAACTAAAATAAGGGCATGTGAGATGCAATTTAATATATGGCATGCACTGAGTGTTTTAATAGGATTTATCTTTTATATTCAATTACAGTACTGAGTATAGATCTAACAACTAACAAATAACAACAGAGTCAGGAACATGCACTCATGTCCCAAAAACACTCGTTTTGCTAAGCTGGAGCAAAGGCTGCACAAGATGGTGTGCCCCTCCAACTCCGAGATATATTTAAATAGACCTAATACAAAACACTCACTGACAGGATAATTAATAAACAGATTGTTTGTGGTGTCATTGGTTTTTCCATCTGTTATCTTTTCATCTCTCATGCAAAATGCAGTAATGAGGAACACCTGTGATTTTATTATCAATATAATTATCAATGATATTTTATTGTTTTGTTTTGTTTTTTGTTTCACATAAATTTAAAGTACAAAGTACGCATAGAAGAACAGAGGGCAGCAAACTGATATTTTATGTTATCAGCTAAAGTCTTTGGCGTCGCCTCCAACAAACATGAGATAATAAAGGTTGACACTGACCTTTATCTAATATTTGAGGAAAAAAATTGGGAAAACGTAAGAAAAAAAATGGAAATTAGGAACGCTGGATTAGAACAAGACTGTAAAAAAAAATCACGCCACTTCTCCCCCATAGTGAGCTAGACCTACAATACTAAGTAGCCTCAAGTTTCCATTAATTTGTTTAATATTTTTTTTATTTATTTCACATAAATTTAAAGTACAAAGTACGCATAGAAGAACAGAGGGCAGCAAACTGATATTTTATGTTATCAGCTGAAGTCTTTGGCGTCGCCTCCAACAAACATGAGATAATAAAGGTTGACACTGACCTTTATCTAATATTTGAGGGAAAAATTGGGAAAATGTAAGAAAAAAAATGGAAATTAGGAACGCTGGATTAGAACAAGACTGTAAAAAAAATCACGCCCCTTCCCCCTCTCATAGTGAGCTAGGCCTACAATACTAAGTAGCCTCAAGTTTCCATTAATTTGTTTAATATTTCTTTAAATTTGTATTGGTTGTAGGATATTTCAATAAATCAAATTATATTAAATGTGATCTTTTGCTTAATAATGTCCTCAATATCTACAAAAATGAACGGAGGTGAACCGTAATTAGACTTTCACCACCCATGGAGTTAAAATCCATGCACCACCACACTCTAAAATCGCACTAGTTGATTCGCTCAGGTTGGTGTTTCGCTGAACTGGGTCTTTTTTCCGCTCAAATGACGATAAAAACACGTGTCAAGTTATTACGTACTGTATTTCGTTTGAATAATGAATGAGCAGTTTTCCAGGGGTCGTCAAGCATGTCCGAGGTTTACATCTCAGAAAATGTGTGTTAGGAGATTAATAATAATAAACTATTCCAGCTCAACTATCAGGTAAACATTACAAATTCTGAATGTTACATTTAATATAATTAAAATAAATACAGCGTCATCCAAACATCATGAAACAACTTAGAATAATTATAAATTTATTAACCGACGCTAACCTACACCGCCGCCTAGGCCCAGTAGAGAGGCCCTGGGCCTCTAAGCATGGCAAGGCTAGGATGAGGAAGTACTCTGCAGTTTGTTGGCCAGCTCAGGTGCTGTGTACATTCTAGGCCTATATTCTGTAGTAGGCCCAGTGTAGTAGGTTATAAAACTACTAGGCCTACGTCTGAAGTATCATGACACACACATATACTAATTAATAATTTAATAATAAAATATAGATTGAAGCCATTTCCTATCAAATGTTATTGCATGCTCTAACTGATCTTTAATTTCAGTGTCCAGGTGCAAACAAAATGGTAGGGAAATTTCAATTTGCAATTGATCGTGGAGGTACATTTACTGATGTCTGGGCACGTTGTCCAGACGGCAAGACACGGGTAATGAAACTGCTGTCAGTTGATCCTACAAATTACCCTGATGCACCAAGGGAAGGAATTCGTCGCATCCTTGAGCAGGTAAGTTTAGAGTCCCATTCCTGGCAAAATTTCACTAAAAAAAGAATTTTGCATGCATATGCATTACTCTAATTATTAAAAATCAAGAAAAAATATTGGCATAATTTTTAGTTTTACGCAAAAGAATAAAAAAAAAAGAAGAGAAATACAGACTATTTCTCATATGAGATTACCATTTTCTCAATGAATTCGTCAATACTAGACAAATTTAGAGGTTGTAGATCGCATTCGCGGGAATGCTCGCAGTTTTATGTACTGTACTTTGTACAGTCATTAAAGTGTGCCTTCTCCATTGAGATTAGTTTTTGTACTTCGCATCTCGCACACAGCGGTCAATGGAGTAGGCTTGAGATATGTTTGTTTGTTAAATCAAATTTCAGTCTTATTTTAAAATTTTTTCATGTTTAGAAATATTTAAATTCAGTTAAACTAGCAATTTTGTATTATATTATAAATCTTTATAACATATATAAGATTTTTCTTAACCAAAATTTTGCCGGGAAGTGGGATTTAATATGCGTATCATAATTTTTATGTTACATATGTAGCCATTCTATCTTTAAAGTGTGTGATTTACTAACTTACTATCTGTTTAGCTATTGTTCTACACCAGATTTTTCTCACACAAGAGAGTCATCATTTCTCTTTATCCCAATTAATCTACAGTATTCATTGGCGAGAGCAAACTGTTAATTTTCCACAGACCACTAAATTCATCAAAACTTTGTTTATTCTAGTTTGAAAAGGAAAATGTAGATAAATTGCCCTTAATTGCGCAACGGCAAATGTTTATGAGAGCAGCGAGCTCAGTCAGCTAAACTGATGGCAGCCACTGTATGCATGCTGAGCCATAAAGATCTCTTGGTCCCCGGTTCAATTACCATCGCTGCTCTTTTTGTATTTCAGCTGGAGGGCTGAAAGCAAGTTACGATAGCGCACCATCTTTCAGATGAGACATTTAAGCCATTGGTCCCGTGTGCATTATAGCCCATGTGCATGTTAAAGAATGCAGTACACTCTTCAGAAAAGAGCAGGGGATTGTCTCCCGAGTGTGCTGCTTAATTCACCACCAGAAAGACCCCACTGGAAACATGTCTTCGGAATTAGTAGGTTATTCTTGGTGCGATTCACACCAAAAATACTCCTATCCTATCCTTTCCTTGACAGCAGGAGTTTCAAACCCCTGTTAGACATAATGACATATTGTCTCATAAAAATGACAAAATATTAATTGTTGTAAAATTCAATTTTGGAATTAGTTTGCTCATTTTTAGTAGAGAAGTCATTGAATTTATAAAAATAAGAAAATGGTTTTTTTTAAATATTTAAACAAAACATGCACATTTTTCCTCTCATTAGACTGTAATTTTTTCCTCTTGGTAACAGGAAACTGGAAAGCCACATCCTCCTGCAGAACCCCTCGATACATCTCTAATTGAATGGATTCGTATGGGAACAACAGTCGCAACCAATGCTCTACTTGAACGTAAAGGAGAACGAACAGCCCTTGCTATTACAAAGGGATTCAAAGACTTGCTTTACATAGGAAATCAAGCACGTCCTAATATATTTGATCTTGTAAGTCGAAGCGAAACACTTTTTCTGGGTTTTGATTTTTTTTTGTAGCCCTATGCAGACACTAGCATCTTTTGTGTCTGTGTGATGTAGGGATGACAAGTTTTCTTAGAACCTGAAATATGGGATATAGTTGCTGATGCTGTGATTTTTTTTATGGTTTTTATGCCTATTGAAGATGTATGCGATAAGGTACAATGAAAGTCTTTTGGCAAAAGAATGAACTACAAATCTCAGTGATTACAATAGACCAGAGCCCTCTGGAGTGTGAATATCGTCATGGAATTGACTCAACCTCCAGCCTTGTCATTTTCCTGAGTTACGTGTTATGAATAATAATTCTATTAACAAGGTGGTACTGTACTAATTTTATTTGTATTTCATCCTACTGACTAATACGGGGCTCCACCTTTTATTAATTTTAATACAGTAGATAGTATATTTACCCTTAAACTTGCTTTTCAATTTATTATAATGTTTATTGATTTATCCAAGTCAAAACACTCAAAATGGCATGGCCACAGTGTTTTCAATTAGATGAGTAGAAGTTGTAATTCCAACAGTACTCACTATACTTAAGTTTAAAGCTATTATCTATTTTCTTTTTAATTAAAGGAAATTGTAACTCCAGAGATGATTTATGAGGATGTCGTGGAGGTTAATGAACGTGTTTACCTTCAGCAAAATCGCTGTCAACTTCCAAAGCCAGAAAATTTACAAACTATTGAAGGAATAACTGGTGAAAGGGTATGAATATCATTTCATTACATCTTTAGAGAATTATCCAGTAAATGTCTCTGACCATGTAAGGTCAAGATTTGATTTAAACTTTGTTTTTTGTTGAACAAAAACAAGTTCAAAATTTACATAGACGTTTTGATTAACTGAAAATATATTAATCATTTCCTTTTATTTTAATCTATCAAAAAGAGATACAAAACAAATGAGATTGAAATAGAAATACACAATTTGATCACACCGAGACATTTGTCTCATGTTTACGTAAACTTGCAAATCAATCAATCAATCAACCAATCAGTGTATCCCACATCTTTTCTTATGTTTTTTTTTTTTTTCATTACAAATAACAAATTACAAATTGTTGGAAAAGAATAAAACCATGACAAGCAAAGCTTTCAACAGTAGGTCCCTTTTTAAATAAATTAAATATAAATATTTATAAATGCATAATAATAAAAAATAGGTGTGCCTATTAAGTAATTCCATTTAAAGAACATATTTGAACACCATCCAACATTTTATCTTGCCATATTCCTTATGTTAGTATTTTATTTATACTCTTTTCAGGTAGAAATCCAGAAAGAGATAGATGAGGCTAAACTACGATCAGATTTGGGCAAAGTGTTCGCCAAAGGCATCCGAAGCTTAGCTGTAGTTTTGATCCATTCATACATGTAAGACCAGATACTTACTTGGTACTCATGATATACTGTACAATAGCATTGCAGTAATCACATTTTATGTGTCAGACCATATTTATCCTGCCAGTTTGTTAAAAGGATACTTTCTGATTGGATAACAGACAACATGTGATTTTAGATACTTCTTAATGATGCCTGTCAAAAGTTATATATAAAAGAAATGTTAGCAATAATTTCATCATCATCAATAGCATCTACAACACATCACTATCAATAGAGGGATGTAGCTATGGTGGGTGGAGGTTGGATACGCCACCCAGCTTTGAATTTTTCCGCCCAGTCTAAGGCTAATTACATGGCCTTCTACCAACCCTTATTAACATACTTCTCCATGCTAAAAATCCCTCATATTATTTAGAGTTTACCAATGTTATCACCCGTCCACCCTTAAAAAATCTTTCACTCACCCTTAATTTTCTATAAGCTACAACCCTGTCAATATTGTCACTATCAATCACCATTGTCTTCTTCATTTCATCACTATTGTCATCAACATTGTCATTGTCTGTCATCATTATCATAATCGTTATTGTGATCTTTTTTTTCTATCGTTTTATGTGTATTGACTATTCTGCTGAACCCAGTCCTTCGGATATTGTTGCCAAGGTCTCACAATACGATAGAGTATAAATTGTTTGTGGGTCAAGCGCCTATTTCAGACGTTATAACCCAAACTCTGATTGGTCAGTTTTATTGGCAGGTCCATTTTTATTTTCTTTGCTTGCTTACGTCTATTGAACCTATTATCAACATAGCTATGATTTAATTCTTTACAGTTTTGACGGCCATGAACAGAAAGTTGCGCACATTGCTAAAGAAGTAGGGTTCACACACGTGTCCACGTCCAGTCAGGTGATGCCGATGGTGAGAATGGTACCAAGAGGATACACAGGTAGTGTTCTAAAGTAAATTTGAATTGTCATTTCTTGTCCTAAATTATTAATAATCACTTTATAAAATTTTATTTTCAATCGAACACTAATTGAATTCTAATAACTTAATTATTATAGAAAGTAAGCAATAGAGATATTGAATTTTTTTCATTTTTAGCTCGACATTGGTAGTAAATTTTGGTTAGTTCTAAAATCTATTTCATGGCCTGTTTCTAAAAGTTATCCAAGAATTTTCCTAATGCTTATTTATCCTAATATGTATGCCTAGGCTTGACTGTGTCCATAACTTTTTCAACAGCATGTGCTGATGCATATCTTACACCCTGTATTAAGGAATATCTTCAGAGTTTTGCCGCTGGATTCAAGTCTAATCTTGAGGGGGTCAGAGTTCTTTTTATGCAGTCTGATGGCGGGCTTACATCTATGGATACGTAAGGCATCAGGTTTCATGATGATAGGGGACTAATACAGGTCTCCCTCTAATTAAAGACCACCTCTAATTGAAGACCATTTCTAATTAAAGACTACAGTACTACTTTTCTCTACCAATGCTACTAAAAACCATGGAAATACCGCCCCCCCCCCCCAACAGGTCTTTAATTGGAGGGAGACCTGTGATAATAACGACAACGGGAATAAAAAAAACTATGACAAACTTATTTAATGTTTTTCATTTAAAGTTTAAAGGAATTCTGATTTTATTTTCCCCAGCTTCAATGGAGCAAGGGCTATACTTTCAGGACCTGCTGGAGGGGTCGTAGGTTATGCCTTAACAACATACAGCAAAGAGACTAATCTGCCTGTGATTGGTTTTGATATGGGAGGTATGGATCAATCCAAATACATAATTGTAAAGTTAAAAAAAATCAACATTTAAATATAATCAACATTTTTTATATCTATATTACTAGTTTGAGCTTGCTCGACCAAAGTCTAGAAAGTAAGTAGTAATACTAGTAGTATATCTATATAAATCTTTTAAACACTTGAACCACACTACATTTGTTTATATTGGCTGTTAGCAGTTTGACCCATGATCCTACTTTGTAATTTTTTTGCAGGAACGTCAACTGATGTAAGTCGATATGCTGGAGAGTATGAACATGTATTTGAGACAACAACAGCCGGCATCAGCATCCAAGCTCCCCAAGTACGTTTATGCTTCAAGAGTTGACAATATGCTTTTATTTTTTTATTGACATACATATGCTATAAAAAAAAAAGAAAAAAGCCCATTATTATATTATGCTTACTTATATTTTTATTATTATTATCATGGTTAATATTTCATTAATATTATAGTTATTAATATTATTATCAATATGTTTGGATGTTCTTGAATATTATGTAGCATATCCTTGGTACATTGTTTCTGGACTGCTTAATGGTGCTACAACTTTGGGGTAAGGGGTGTTACAATTTAAGTAGTGGGATCATTTTTATACAAAAAATTAATAATTTATCTCCAGAATTTTTTACATAAATTTGTTTCCCCCAGCTGGATATCAACACAGTAGCTGCAGGTGGCGGTTCTCAACTGTTCTTTCGATCTGGAATGTTTGTGGTTGGTCCAGATTCAGCCGGAGCACATCCAGGACCTACTTGCTACAGGAAGGGTAAGTCCCCTCTCTGTGCTATTATAATTACGGTAATTAATTTAATATTGGACTTATATCCAGGAAATGCTCAAGGGGTTTTTCTTTTCCTGGAAAATTTCATTAGCTACTCATTTATACTCTTGGGTAAAGCGAGACAAATATAAGTAAAGGGCCTCACTAGGGAGCTGTTGATTTGCACAACAACGTAACGCTCGAAAGTATTCACTCATTCGTGAGCGCCCTCTGTGTCTTCATAACGTATATTAGGGCCAAATTAAGTCCTAGAATCCAGGCGTCAACGAGAACTCAACATTCTTGCATACTTCAGGAAGTCATTAAATGTGTTGTGTCAAAAGCTTCCTACTACTAAAGGAACATCGTCAAACCCGCAAAACTTCAATTGAAAGCCCAACACCATACCAGTGTTCCACACTCTTCCACAATTTAACGGGAATAAAAATGTATTGAAAGAACAGGTATTTAATGATGAAATAAAACAGAGGAAAGTTGACAAGAAAATTGACATAGATTTTAAGATATTTCTGAACCCAATTATCATTTATTCGAAAATCCGCCTCCAATACTTGCAGTTTGTATTATTACTGTATTATTATTTTGTTATCATTCATATAGATAGAGTTTGTTTAATTTTCACCTATTTTTCTATCTAATTGGACTTGTGTCTTTGTTTTTATAGGTGGTCCGCTATGTGTCACCGATGCAAACCTCATTCTTGGCCGACTTCTCCCCGAACTATTCCCTAAAATATTTGGCCCGAATGAAAACGAAGAATTGGATAAAAAATCTTGTCTACAATGTTTTCAAAAACTAACTCAGGAGGTAATGAATGTTGTTGTTTACGTACACATTTTTCTGCCATTTTAAACCTATCTTATTGTACTACCAAATCTTATCACTCAATCTTACCAAAAAATTTTCCTTTTTTAGATTAACAGTTTTAGAGCTGGTAGTGATGGCGGTAAACAGATGACAGTGGAAGAGGTTGCTATGGGTTTTATAGATGTTGCGAATGAAACAATGTGTCGTCCAATTCGCAATCTGACCCAGGCCAAAGGTCACGATACTTCACGTCACATGCTGGCTTGTTTCGGAGGAGCAGGCGGTCAACATGCTTGTGCAATAGCACGTTCACTTGGAATGGCCACTGTTTTCATACATAAGTGAGTACGTCATCTGGTTGGCAGAAATCTGTATTGAACAGCAAGTCTCATATATTAGACCTATGTTCTAGTAGGCACTAGCCTGTCTAGTAGAAATTTTTTGGATAAACCTCTGATATAATGCACTGCCTTTTATTTTATTCAAAATTAATCAAAATGAAAATAGAATTATGCTACATGGTTCAGCTATAATATTTGATGTATTATATTTACCATACAACTTCTAATAATAACCCATTACTCTATTAGTAATTCCCTTCTAATAGTGACCCACCCTAGAAGTTAATCTATAATAATAACCCACTACTATAATAGTAACCCATGAGGTTATTGTTAGAGTCACCAAACTATAGACAAAATGACATTCAAATCAACATTTGTGTCGCTTTAACACGATTTATTCCATAAAATAGGCATTTTTCACAATGTGATTGCGCCGCTGATGATTCTTTCTTAAATTTATAAATAAAATTAAATCAACAAAGGTTCTGTACTTGTACTGTAATAATTTATTTCTATGAATTGCTGATGATAAAAGCTGTGAGTGGGTATGGGCTTAATATTTTCAAGTGCCTACATTAGGCTTAGTAATAGTAACCCACTACTCTAATAGTAACCCATACTCTAATAGTAACCCACCCTAAAAATCAGTAAAAGAATTATAGTAACCCAGGGTTATTATTAGAATTTTTTATGGTACTGAAATCATTTGTTATCTATTCGTGTTTGCAATAAAGTTGAGTTGAGTTGAGTTAATAATAATAATGGTCATTTATATAGCGCCTTTTCCTCGCGGTTACAAAGCGCTTGTATCACACAATTGAATCTTAAATCTGCTTAAAAATATAGGCTATTTAAAACTATTTTTATTTTGATTAATTATTAGTTATTTTTTTGTTTACTATCAGATACTCAGGAATTCTGTCTGCATATGGGATGGCCCTTGCGGATGTAGTTTACGAGAGTCAGGAGCCATGCGCATTCCCTTATGATGAGGGCAGCTTCGATCAGATAGGCACCAAACTGGACAAACTGACACAAGACTGTATCAGAGCTCTACAAGAACAAGGCTTTGAAAGAGACCAGATACACACTGAACCTTTCTTGCACATGCGGTATCAGAAGACAGATTGCGCCCTCATGTGTTCACCTATTCCTAGTTCAGATAAGAGTCCTAAATATGGTGACTTTCAAAAGGCATTCACAGATAGGTAGATACATTTTTTCATCAATTTTCAGTTCACTGCTACTCAAATGAATATGAAAATATATATATATATATTTAGTTTGTAAATATTATTTTTTGTTCTAATTTTCCAACTGAATGGTCATAACACTTAAATTTACAAATTTAAAATTGAAGTTTATTTTTCACAGAAGACAGAATATACATCTTTAATAATTATCAAGTTTTTTCAAATAATTAAATTTAAACATCACTAATTTTGTGTGTTTGATAGTAAATAATTACGGTAACTAATGCAAGGATGTTACAATTTTTGTTTTATATTAAGATATCAGAGAGAATTCGGATTTACAATACCTGGTCGAGAAATCATTATTGATGACATCCGTGTAAGGGGCATCGGCAAAACTCTAGCTCAGGATAACACGCATTTGACACCGAGTTCTGAACCACCAAAACCAGAAAAGGTGAGATTAAAAATATATAAATTTATGGCAGGAGTCACTCATTGGGATTTGAAAAACTTTTGTTCGTGCCAGGGCTTTCAATCTGCTGGATTGGAAAGCCAGTACCTCCCCCTCCCTCCTCCAGACAAAATTTCCATTCCTCTTACCACTTTAGTAGAGTCTGTAATAGTAGTATGAAATTAAGTCTTCATAGTAGTATGAAATTAAATATACAAATGTTAATTTTTTTTTTCTAGGTTACAAGGTGTTACTTTGAGAAGGGTTATCAGAATACAGGAGTGTTTCTACTGGAGAAACTAAGCTACGGACAAACAATTGCAGGGCCTGCCATCTTGATAGAGAAGAACAGTACTATACTAGTAGAACCCAACTGCCAGGCGTCAATCACATCTGCTGGCGATGTCAAAATACAGGTTTATTTTACTTGCGTTCTTTCAGTCTTCTGTATTATAATTATGCTTATTTCAAAGCCTACGGACACAGTGCAAGACGGATGCCCTCAGATGTCTTGGGTTCGAAACCTACTAGTGTCAAAAACTCTTAACAACAAAGATAATCAAATTTTCGCAGGCACAATTAAATATCAGTACATTGTTAGAATAATTAAGGAAATATAATGACTTTCACTTCGTTTTTCACTGGACCAGTAGCGTGCTAGCCATGTGTGTTTACTTCCGCATTCCTAGCTGTGTCTTAGTTGTTGTGCAGTATTAGACCATTTAGACACAACAGACGATAATGGTACTAAACTGTACATGTACTGTATGTACATTTGGGTGTTAGTGGGACATTTTATGGTTATCAACATGTTTTGATTGGTCAGTAGTTAAGTTTGATTGACATTCAGGAGAGGTCCATTAATATGGTAAATTCTTTTTACAGATTGGCTCTGGTGAAATTAAGACAGTCGGTACTGAACTAGACATGATTCAGTTGTCCATCTTCTCGCATCGATTCATGAGTACGGCTGAACAGATGGGCAGGATTCTTCAAAGAACATCAATATCAACCAACATTAAGGTATTTGATCAAATCAGTGACAAAATTGAGGGATGATGGTGGTCACTAAATTAGTAATAATTCACTAAAGTAGTAATAATAATAATAATTATTATTATTATTTTATCTTATATGAGGGTGACAGCAATTGGATGATGATAAATATAATATTAAAATGAATAGGACTAATGATTCATTTAATAACTGATACATTTTTTTATAGGAACGCTTAGACTTTTCTTGTGCTGTGTTTGGGGATGATGGCGGTCTCGTTGCCAATGCTCCTCATATACCAGTGCACCTGGGTGCAATGCAGGAAACTGTGCAATACCAGGTAACGTGTCATACGTACATTTAATACAGAGACTTGTCCACATTATTGTGCTCAAAATTGAATATATTTCGGCTGAAAACAATTGATATTTTTTGCTTTTGACAAACTTTTATGTCAATTTATTGGTTTAAATGTTTTCTTTCTTAGCTGATGTAACATTGTATATTAATTTTGAATACTTTTAAATACTTATTTTAAGTGTTTTTGTAGTTAAATTAGTTAAATAAATGTTGTTCGTAATGATGTCATAACCCCAAATCTAGTTCGTAATTGGGAGGTTCATAATTGGAAGATTTTATTGTACTGTAGAATGAGCAAGTAATATGGTTTTAATATGGTTTAATATGGTTTTGGTGTTCTTTTTAGATGAGAGCTCTTGATGGTGACATCAATGATGGTGACATGATCCTTAGCAATCATCCGTGTGCTGGCGGCAGTCATCTTCCAGATTTAACCGTCATCACACCAGTAAGCAAGTGTCGTCTTTGCTTTTAATGATACATTATTCAGTTGTGATAACAAGCACAGTGATACTAGTAATAAAAAACATATCTGACAGACTTGAAATTATATAGAAATCTTTGGAGGGGAGTAATATAAAAGAAATACATTTTCAACTGTGACAATCCTAAACTAATCATAGAAAAAAAAAAGACCAAAACACAACACAAGCAGAGGAGCCAGAATCTCCGCATCATTCCCAAATACTACTAGCAAGCATTAGTGGCAGGCTCAATAATGATTATAATAATACTGCACTAGTGTAATATATAAGCATTGTATTTATAATTGTAAAATAAAAAAGTAACATTGAAAAAAATTCTATTATCTCTTTATTTTATCATGTATATGTAACCTACCTAATTCATGTCACAGGTTTTTCACAAGGGACAGAAGAAACCAGTTTTCTTTGTAGCCAGTAGAGGTCATCATGCTGATATTGGGGGGAAAACGCCAGGGTCAATGCCTCCATTCTCCAAAAGCATTGATGAGGAAGGTGCTGTCTTTTGGTCCTTTAAACTTGTCAAAAACGGAATATTTCAAGAAGAAGGTAAAGGAAAATAGTGTATCAAAAAATTAAATAATTAGTATAATTGCATATAAGAAGTATGTGAAAATTTAAATGCATATTTCAAATTCTGATGTAGTCGATAACGTCAACTTGATTTCTTTCTATGTAGCTGTTACTGAAGCATTTATGGCACCTGGCAAAATTCCTGGCAACAGTGGTACAAGGAATCTTCATGACAACCTGGCTGATTTAAGAGCACAGGTGGCAGCCAATCAAAGGGTTTGTATTTGCATGATTTAAATGTACTGTCATACTCCTATTACTGGTAGAAGTCTGGTACTTGTACAGTAACGTTGTTAAATCAAACTAAAAAATTGTTATAATAATAATGACAAAGGCGTTTAATAATAATTTAATCCATCACATTCTTGCTTATTTTAGCACTTCAGGCTCTGCACCATCAACAATAAACAAGCTACAGTGCCTCTATGCTGCCTCTGCACAAACACTTACAGACATTCGCACACATATCACCTGTTAAAATATTGAGCAATGATTGAAATATTCTCTTTTAGTTTCTGACTAACCTTTACCTTTTTCCCCCTAGGGTGTCATTCTGATCGAAAAACTCATTGATGAGTATAGTCTTCCTGTGGTTCAGGCATACATGAAACATATACAGAACACTGCTGAGGTGGCTATCTCAGACATGATGCGACAGATAGGGCGACAGACCCAGCAGCATACTGGCCAGACCAGACTATCAGCCATCGATCACATGGATGATGGCACTCCATTGAAGTTAACTGTTGATATTAATATTGATCAGGTAAAAATGATGTCGATATGTAGCATCATTGGTTTTGAATAGCTCCAGAACAGTCTCAAAATTCTCAGTGAACCTGCCGAGGGTAAATTTTTCAAAGAGTTGCATTTTCCAAAAAAATTGGCGAGAAATGTACACACTTGTTTATATGAGGTTTGCCATCCCAAAATCTGCATCAGTGACCAAAAAATGAAAATTGACTTTTTGATAGATTCTTATTCTCCACATTGAAAGCTTTAAAATGATGGATCATTTACTGGAGTCGACTTAATTGCCCAAGTTATGAGTAAAAATATTACGGCTACTCTGGACTTAAACACGCGACTGCCAGACCTTTTTTTTTTAGGTTCTGTCCCGTGTACCAAAACAAGTATACATGTATAAAACATACTTTTTTGAAATTTTATCTATTCATATATCATCAGAATGGTGTGTCCAATAAATTGGCTTGAAAATATTAGGGGACGAGTAAGCTCGTCACCAGCAATGGGACAGTAATTTTTATTGTCTCTGCCAAGTGTGAGTTTTCTTGTTCACTCTTTGCATGGATTAGTAAATGTTCTGAGGGCACCCCCCCCCCCCCCACAGTTTAACAATTGGCGGCAGTACACTGGTACTTGGGTTAAATGGCAAACCTCATGTATGTCCAATAAGGGCAGTAATAATATACATAGAGATGATTCATCAGCATAGTGTGTAATAATAAGAAGCAGTTGAACTTTCTGTGTAAGCATACTTTGCCATATAATAATTATTATTATTAACCGATGTCTAACATTGATTGACTATAGTAAATATGTTCTGTAGTGGGAGGTCTATCACAGTATTTGTTTTTATATTCCAACTCTTCCAGGGGACAGCTGTGTTTGATTTTGCCGGCACAGGTCCTGAAGTACATGGCAATAAGAATGCGCCACGTGCCATCACTACCTCGGCTATCATCTACTGTCTGCGGTGTATGGTGGGCCATGATATACCTCTCAATCAGGTACTTGGTACAATTCTTCAGCATTCAAATCTGGAATAATTATTTCACCTCTTAATTTATTGACGAGAGCAGCTTATCTTAGTCGGCCAAACAGGTGGTAGCCACTATGTGTGTGCTGATTCGTGGAGATCTGTAGTTTGAACTTGATCTCTTGGTCCCCCAGTTCAATTCCCATCGCTGCTGTCCTTGTGAGCTGAAATGCAAGTTTCAATTGCATATCGTCTTTCTGATTTAAGCCATTTGTCCTGTGGGAAATATGGCCCAGGGGGACGCTAAAAAATGCAGTACACTCTTTGGAAAAGAGTAGGGGATTGTCTCCAGTGTACTGCTCAATCACCAACAGAAGGACCCTATCTTTGGAGTTGTCTGAGTTTGCAACACAAAGTTGTCCTTTTTAGTTTAGCATCATGATATTGAAAATTCCCAGTATGAATTTAGCATTTACTTGAGTAACTTGTAGTTATTCTGTATTTGTTCAGATATCCTGTTATACTGCAAAGGTTCCAATTAAATTCCGGTTCCGGTGGAAACGGCAAGTGGGTTGGTGGTGACGGTGTCATCAGAGAAGTGCTGTTCAGAAAGCCATTAACCGTGTCGATCTTGACGGAGAGGAGGAGCTTCCAACCATATGGAATGGATGGAGGGGATCCTGGAAAACGTGGGATGAATCTGTTCTGTTACCATGATGGAAGGGTCGTCAATCTTGGTGGGAAGAATTCAATTCAAGTAGTTGCTGGGGTAAGTGATTGGAATTTTTGAACCATAAGTTTTAAGAAGCATTCATTTGTGCAAAATAAAAATCAAACATCCTGATCTCCTTCATATATGATTGGCAATGGTGCTGGTCTATGATCACATTGATTTTATTCTAAAGCTTTTTCCTTACTGTCAAATTTCATTTGACAGATAAATGACAAATGCCCATATTTGGGTATAATGACATCATCATGCCCATATATGGGTACATCACACAAATTTGTCACATAATTGATAGTGTGGACAGAGCTCAAAAATTAATAAAGCCTGTTTTCCACTAGGTGAATTTATTCGCGCGAATCAAAAGCCTCAGTTCATGCACATTCGCATTTCTACCCGAGTTCATCGCTTCAGTGAAATCAGTAGTTCAAACTGTTTCTACTTTTTGCGAAGCAAAAAAATGCGTAACCAATCAGAGCTCAGGATGCGAACCCATGCTTTCGTTTTGCGCGAATAAATTCGCCTAGTGGAAAACGGGCTTAAAGTTTGAAAAATAGTAATTGTTATGTCGCCCTCTATTGCCAGAGTGGCAGACAACTTTAAACATCAAAGTGCAATACAGCATGGAAATTTGACACCAAGTAATCGAGCGACAAATACAGTTCATTAGTGACAACATAAATGTCTTGTTGAGATTGAAAGCTAACAAGATATCAGTGTACAGTACTTGCAAACTCAACTGGCTGAATTGTTAAACAAACTCCATAGCTACTGTGTTTGAAAGCTATGTTTGTTTATATACACAGCATTAAGGTTGTTGACCTCTTCCCCTGGGGCTTTCATCACTCTGTCATCTCTTTGCTCTGATTAAAGATTAAGTAGACAATATTTTCTTAAGGGCATCGTCAACATGTCACAGCTGTTTCTGTTACAGTTTCATTATACTGTAGTACCCAACCACAGCCAATTAATTTACTCCTGATTTTTTTTGTTTTAAGGACTGCTTGCAGACGTTAACACCCGGAGGCGGCGGTTATGGGTCAAAAGATTATGAGGATATGGAGATGGGAGGGCCCAGGAAAAGGAGGAGGACCAATAATCCAGGCGAGGGCGGTTTCCATGGCCATGGAAGTCTTCATGCTTTCAAAGCAGCTCAAGAACAAGCTTAAAATGCAAATTGGTTAAAAACGTGCAAAAACATTGTATTGGAATAATTCCATTAATATAGGTTCTTTTTTTAGTTGTTAATCATAGTGTTCCTATTCCGATTTATATTTATTGTTATTTTTTCTTGCTTTATTTCCACCTGTATAATGCTAATAGGTAATAAATAATGTAGTCATCATATACATTTTATTATATACAGTATACACATAAAGTATATTATGTCTATTTTGAATTTTAGTGTAAGGTTGAAGAGAGAACATACAGTAATTCACTAATTAATTTTGTGCTACAGGGAAATACTGTATAGTCTTTATTGGAAATATAAATAAATATATAATTAGATATAGTTATGTTATTCACTGTGTAATTTTTCGGTGCCATGTTTGAAGTTTTTGAAAAGTACAAAATGATAAAGTAATAACAAAATAATTTATGAGTATTGAAGCCCTAGTAAAAAATAATATTAAATATTACCTTGTGTATTACCTATGGATTTATTTTAAAATAAAGTCAATCAATCAATAAGTGGTAATTAAATAGTGGATGCAGAAACAAAACAGATTGGTGTATATACTAGATGTAATTTTATTGCAAATAAAAAAGAACTATATAGGTAGTAAAATACAACATTTAGTACAACTTGCAGTACTAGAATTTACAAATAGAGTACTGTAGTTCATCTAATTGAATGTTATTCTATTAGTGGGAGAGGTCAAAGAGCTTGTGCAGGGGCACGGGTGATTGGGTTATCTGAATTGTTTTCATATTGTATGTGGTGTTGAAGTAAATTATACCTCAAAGTGCAAAGTATCATTTAAACAAAGTATTGTTTATTGTTTGTATTTTTATTTACTTTGCAAACATACTTCTTTGAAAAGGGGGCACACAACGGCATTCAACTTAATTACAAAAATATCAAAATTAAGGTGAAGCACACATCTACACAAGCACTGAGAAAATATGCAGGTACAGTATACAGACTAAACTGCACATAAAAAAATAAATTAAAAAAATACAACAGTTATCTTACTAAAACCTCATTATTATTGTTATTATTAATGATATTAATATTAATGTTATTATTATTATAACTACTACTATTATTACTGTATATTAATTTTGTTTTTTTATTATTTCATTATTACTAATATTATGTTATAATTGCTCTTATGGTTCTTACCGTGGTCATATTGGTTATTATCGTCATTATTAGTTTTATTCCAGGTACTAATGTTACTAATTAAATATATTATTATTACTATTACTACTGTCATTATTATTGTATTACTAATTTGGCAAATTATTGTTTATTAAATTGTTATAGGCAGTTAAAAATTACTTTCAGATAAAGAAAACAAAACAAAACACAAACAATAAACAAAATTTGAAAAAAAATAATAAAAGTAGCAATAATAGCACATGTAGTGATAAATCAGCACAGTATCAATAAATAAATAAATTGTATCAATGAAAAATAAATAATAGTATAGGTTGTAACGTATTTAATTGGTGGGCGGTATATCATTTAATGTAATTGTTCTGTATTTCCATATAGCATTTAAGTACGGTTTACAATGATGATCAGCAATTCCTCCGATTGGATTGCTCTGGATATTAATATTCATGAGCGATTTCTTTTGACCCGATTACGATTAGTAGCGCGAAGTTATACGTAGTTCAAAGGAGATTGTCTTGCATTAAACCTGGCCTAATCGGCCTGGCTGGCTGTACATTTTTTTTTTATAAGAACCATTTAATTTTGCACACTGGCTCATTTTCATTTTTGCCAGTTTCAGGCTCAACATGTATTTTGTCTTATTTTACACCGTACAACCAGTGACCTTCTTGTTCGCAGAAAGATACCGGGACTGTGTTTGAGAGGAAATTATAAATTGTTGCAGCACATGCTTAGCTGAGTATATTTGTAATTTTACATGGAACTTCAGATTAGTAGATCTCATCTGTTGACAGTAATGGTACAGTAGATATAATGTTGATATAACCTTTGTAAACATTTATTAATACTTTAGTGTATGTGACCAGCTTGATTTGTTGGGGATTTTTTTTTAGTTTTTCTGTTTTATCAAAAACCTTGTTTGATGTTTTACCTCAGCCTGATCAATTTGTCCTTATTTTTAAGCAATTTCAGCCCTAGTGTGTGTTATACAAAAAAAAGTGTGTCGTATAGCAAACAATGTGCCTCATAGCCGTCGGAAGCATTTTGCTAGTGGTCTGTCCATTATATTATAGCGGGATGGTAGAGAGTCATACCCACCTCAGCCCCACCATGGTTGGGCTGAAGTCCTCTAGATGGCAGAAAATGACACTCTAGTAAAATTCATCATCACATCATCATTATAGTCAAAATGAAGCGCCAACAAATTTCTCATGAAATTTTATCATCCATTTTCGGCAACCATAGAGATTATTAGTAGGCCTACCGGTATGTGTAATGAGACCATGGAAAATAAGACTTAAAAACACCGTCTTTCATGTACGGTATTTATTTTACTTTATCACTTCAAAGATTGTGAGTCCACCACCCATGTCAGCCCCCCCAAAATTTGGCTGTACAACACTCTTTCGTTAAAACCAGTCTCTTTTATGCAGTTCATTTCAACAACTTTCAGGCATCTTCTTTACTTATGAAATTACATTGTGGTCGAAAAGTGAGTGGGACCAAACCCCCTTAAAAATATATGGGGGACGTGTCCCCGTCTCCCCAAAATCTGCGCCCATACTGGTAACCAGTACATCCACTACACGGTCCCCTCAAGGGGCGGACACAGCACCATGGTTGAAAAAAATGACTCCTCTGCCGGGAAATAGCACATGCATACTTTACAAAGATGAATTTTCCTCACTTTGAAAGGGTGATAAATTTAGATTGCAAGTAATTTGGGCCGGCTTGACCATTTATACCTTTGTGTCACATAACAGCCTAACAGCCTATGTGATTCCATCGGAGTGGGGTTTTTTTTAAGTCGATTCTTATCCTACCATCATCAACATAATAATAATTATCGATATCATCATCACCGTCATCATCATCATCATCATCATCAATATCTTCATAACCACCACCATTATTATTATTATTATTTTTATCATTATTATTATTATTATTATTATTATTATTATTATTATTATTATTGGCACGGTATTATTATTATTATTATTATTATTATTATTATTATTATTATTATTATTATTATTATTATTATTATTACTGTATCATCATCCTCATCGTCATAAAGGAATGGCGCATTAGAAAAAGAATAATTACTGTAGCCTAATTGGTTTTTATACCACTCCAGGTGGCGTTTTACATATAAACATTACTCAATGGACTACGAAAGAGACTTTAAATTATTAACAAATGTAAGTACTGTACAGTATTGAACATTTTTCATCGTTAATTCACTAGTTAAATGGGAATTCTGTCATCATTTTATGGTTATTATTTTGACTACGTTTGTTAGGCAGCCGCATTGAAGGCATTGACAATTTCATCGACAGAAGCATGCACTGACATGCTGCGTTCATATTCAACAACATACATTCCAAGTGACCTGAAACTGGCTAAAAAAACGTTGTCTAAAGTAATTACAGCTTGGGGCTTGTTAACTTCCGTTCGTTGTTTACATTGTAGATTCGTATCTGTTTTTTCCATTGATAATATTTGCAATTTATTACCAAGAGCCTATAATTATCTTTTTTTTAAATACATATAATTTTGTTTTCTCCCCGACGAATTGTGCTTTTTCTCACCGACGTGGGGGGGGGGGGGGATCTCTGAACAAGGCTTTAGGCATCCCCTTGTTTTAGACCCCGATCAGAATTGTTGGACGTTGGACCCCTATCGACATTTTTCTATGAGTCTATGTATAAATAAGAATATAGCACTGGTATAATTTAACTGTCTGTTAATTTACAGGAAAACAATTTTGTCATTCATATATTTAATTGTAAGTTTGTAACTTACTTAATATAATTATTCAGTTATGAAATTAAATAGTTTATCTTTCAGCTCAAGACAGACAGTGTTTTCTCTATGGACAGTGTATATTTAAATTGGACTTCATTGGAAATGGGCTGGATCGACTCCGGCCTAATGGGCGTTCCTGATGCTCATTACGGTAATTGTTACTTTTCTTGATCTCACTGGCATCCATTTGTTATCTTGCTTATGCATGTTGAGCATCGAAATAATTCAATCAATCACTCAAAAAATATTATATTATGAAAAATGTTTGTATGAAGATTATAGATATAGTATTATGTTTATTGTTTGAATAGTACACTTTTTATAAATTATAAATTTTATTTACCCATGTCAATCGGAATACTAACATAATTTGTTTGCGCTATTGCGATCTACTAGTCCTACCCAACGCCATGTATTTAATAGTTATCACATCATTCCGTGGTGTGATGATATTATAAATAATTAATATTTAATATGATAATGCTGATATGATTAGAATTGTGAAGTACTATTATGTTGTATCAGCAGCATTGCCCATAGTGATAACTGCATACGATAATGTTTAGGTTGGGGTTCTCCCCTGGGGCGGGGTGGCAGCCGGCCTTCCCCCCTTACCCTTAATCCTTTAAAAAAAATTGGAGAAAAAAAGAAAATTACATTCAAATTTAAAATCTGAGATTGCCATTTCTGGCCGTCTAGAGGTGCCATAATTGAAAAGTTTCTTACCTCAGCACCAACCATGGTGGGGCTGATGTGGTGGGCCCCTCTATTTCAGACCTACTGGCTCTGCCTCTGTTTATATTTGTACCGGTATATTATGTTTTGATGATACTCCGTTATAATTCTTTCTCTGTTTCCTAATCTTTTCTCAATATTTTTCTATTCCAGTGATGTAGACAAAGATGACACAACTATCAGGAAAACATAACCACAGACTCAATCGTGAAAGGGCAAAAGAACTCACCAATTTTTCATAGATAGCCAAAAATTGTGTCACTCATCAAGCTTCCTATAAAAATTCTGGATATGAAATTAATTAAGATATAGTGTAAATTTTATTTTTTAAATGTTTTCCTCTGCAATAATCTCAAAAATAATGTTAGCAATATGTAGTAATTCTTGTAGGCTTCATGTTTATTAATATTGTATTATTACTGCTAATGTTTATCTTATCAATAGAGAAAGTAGGCCTAACCCGTTTGTTGTAAAGAATATAGACATGTAAGATAATAAGATTAAAAATTTTGAGGATTAAAATCAGATTTATTGATTTTTGCCGGATGTACATGATATAGGCCTACAGTATATAAATATAAAATGTATATATATATATATACATATATATATATATATATATATATATATATATATATATATCACAACTTGATTTCAATGCTTAAAAATAAATATCAAATGTAATTGTGCATTCCTTCTCATCTTATTTAATGTCTATGTTTACTGTAATAAATTCAATAGCTAAATTAGCTTATAAGCTTAAACCACAAGTGAAGAATTGCTTCATCAATAATGTGCTACTTTATCTATTAAACTAGCAATTATTTCGAGGACGCCCTCAACAAATACATAAAACCGGAAATGACGTGGTTGCTAAGCAACAAGCTCATGCATAATCATGAATATTCAGTGACACCTGTTCTAATTAGACTAACAATAAAATCTTTTTGGTCGATTTTGTCAAAACTGAGCTAAAAGTTTTTATTGTTAGTCTAATGAGCACAGGTGTTACTGAATATGCATAAGCTGTAGCCTAGCAACCGACGTCATTTCCTGTTTTGTAAAATTCGACAGCACCTTGCTCTGAAAAGTCTCGTAATTTGTTGGTGTCATGTGAATATATTTGGAAAGAGTGTTTATAAGATAAAGTAGCCTGTAATAATGCTTTATTCGAATCGAAGTGATTATAATATATTTATTTCGATTATATACTGATTAATAATCATGAAATATATATTATTAATGCAATTATGACAAAGGAAGTACACACAATGATGTAGGCCTATTATAAATTATACTACAGTTTACCTTTATTTCTTAAATACTCGGAAATGTTACATCAGAACTATATAAACGTATATATTCTAGTTTTATATAATATAATATAATATATATATATATAATGCTTATAGGCCTAATTTTATTTAAGTATGTACTATCGTTCGAGAATTACTTGTTCGTTGTATAAGAAACATAATTGGCAAATTTGAATCAATTCCGGCGATCCAGTGATATAAATCCTAATAAATATCCGCGAGCGATTATTTGTAGAATTAAGACCATATAAATCCGGCTATTGATAGCATCTTGTGTTCCGGCAATTTAATACACATCATGTTCCGCTGACAATAATTGTACATCGACTTCGCGCTTATTGATGGATCGGTAGATTTGACCTGAGACACTGAAATAAAAGAGATTGAACTAGTGAGAAATACATTTACATTACAACTATTTTCATTTAGGCATCTGGTTAAGTTAGGCCTAATTAAGTATCAATCTCATTAGGTTAAAAACACTTTTTGCAAACTTTATGACATTCATACTTTCATGAGGTATAGGAATACAAATTCAGAAAAATAAAATTGATTGTTTGATTGATTTAATACATTATATATAGTGTACATGTTAATAAAGCGTTATTTTCATATGCGTTGGTGAGTACGCTCCCCAACATCCCACCCCAAATCGCCAAGGTCCAAATTCGAAATCTTATGTTCCTATCTGAGCACTGTTATTAT